ATTATTTATGGTCGGCATGTTTCAGAAAGGGCCATTTGTCGTGTTCACATTCAGTAATAAAAACAGTTTGCTGGCTGGCAGTGGTGGAAGAAGAACTCTGCTTTAGTAAAAGTAGTTACACCGCAGTGTAGAAATACTCTCCTACAAGCAAAGGTCATGCATTTAAGAACAAAAGTATTGGCATCAAAATATAGTTCAAATACTCAGAATGCAGAATAATGTATATTTTGTTATTGGAGTATAATGATTGATGCTTTAATGCTTTCACTACTTTAATGCTGGTAAAAGGTGGTTCTACTTTTAATAACCTTTATGTTCTGCTGGGCAGCTTGTGAATTTCCAAACGGGGATAAATAATAAAGTCTGAACCTGTAGTAGTAATAATTTTAGTATAATGTATGTAATGCACTATAATGTAGTGCAGTAAACGGTACAATATTATATATATATATATATATATATATATATATATATTAAATATGAGTAGCAGAACTTGGAAATACTCAAGTAACTAATTTTACCACCAATAATACGGGTGTCGCCAAGTCGACCAGAAGTGAAATCTGAACCTTCAAATCGGTGTTTGTCAAAGTGCTTTGATGCTCACTGAAGCTGCGGTTTTCTTACTAATTAATGCCCGTTTTTGTGACCTTGAATGAAATGGCCACTCAGTACGGAGTGCCTACAGGGTCATGTGGTTAACCGGGCGCACGGATTGGTTCCACTACATCTGCGCAGTAAGTAGCCAACATTACTGTACATGTTGATATTTAGGGCCAGAGCATGAAATGTGAAAGGACCCTGTTGAAGCTGAAGGAATTTTTCTTCTTTCTGCCTATGAAGTGAATTTTTGGCGACCTAAACATACTCGAAAACTCACCCAACTTTCCAAATGTGAAAGTTTACGTGTCTTATGGTTTTCGTGTATGGGATTGGAAAAATGGCTTGCTAGCGCCCCCTACAGAGCAGCCCCCAAGCCACATTTCATCCAGATGTTTTGAAATTTCTGTGGCAGATGGATCGAGTAATATGTAGCTGCAGTTTCAGGACCGCAATCCTAGAACCGGAACTGCATTTGTAGGTCCTGAATCTGCCAACCCTTCTGTACTGCAGCTGCATAATATTGGATGGATCAGGTCCAGACCTACAAAAACAGCCTCCTGGGTTGATGCCCTAAACCCAACAAGAACTCTGCCAGTTTGAATCTAAAGGTCATTTTTGGCAATTTTCAGGTTCCGTACTTTAAAGGTCTGCTGCTAGAAAATTAATCCAATCAACTACAAATTTTCACTGTACAATCTAAAGGCATTGACGATGAAAAGTTGTGCTATCTGTGAGTTTTCGTTGAAGGGCGTGTCCGTGGCGTGGCATTGAAAATTGCTATGATTCGCCAAGAAACAGGAAGTTGTTTTAACTTCAATGTACATGCTAACATTTGCACCAGACTTAACAAGTGTGATGTTTGAAGAGTCCCACCCTGAACACATCTACGTGCCCATATTCACACAATGTCATTGCGCCACCTGCTGGCAACAGGAAGTAAGCCTTGTGTGAAAATCATTTACATTAAATTTTCCACACTGGACATACTGGGAATAACGTGTAATTAGCAGGTGCTCTCTTGCGCCACACAGGGAACACGGGAAATGACGTTTAACTCCCTTGTGAGGCGTCCAAAATGCATGTCCCACAGATACTGTTCCTATCACCAAACACGTTTTTTTCCCCTGGTGTATGACCATGGGGGGCTTCCGTACTTCTATGACAGCTGGGGCGAGTTCAGCGCCAACAAAACGTTTATTTCAACAGAAAAGGTGGTGCCTTGAACACCCTGTTGTGAACGCAAGCGCGCTGATTTTTCCTGCCTTTTTAACCCCGATGTGTTTACAAACTTGTCGCAGCTGGTTGGGTGTGCTACCCAATCAGCTGCCACGCCCACCAAACGGGAGAAAACATACCTCAAAGCCCTGCTGTTCAATCTCAGAACGCTTTTAAGATTCAACTTGCTAAAAGTTACACATGTGATTGACGAGCCAGGCAGCCAATCGGCAGCCTCCTCAGCTGAAGTGCGTTGAGCTGCGGTTCCTCTAATGTCCACTAGATGCTGCTGTGGATAAACTGACTGCATTGAAGTGAATAGGGAAAACCTCCCACAGTTTGTGACAGGACAGGTTCTGAGTTTGTTTCAAAGCTTCTGATGTGAGTCTGAGGGCAAAGTGTGAAAACCATTGTTCCATTAAGGATATATTAAAGCTGTGTGTTTGATTGACAGGCGTGGCGCTCCGTCAGTTGCCGCTCGGTCTCTTTTTTTTGCCCAAATTAGGATTTCCTGGCTCCAGTGTGCGAAGCAGAGAGCGTCCACAGAGACAGGTTTCACGCAGACCGATGGGAGTTTGGATCAGCATCAGCGGGTCCAGAGGTGGCGTCTCCCAGCTGGAGGCTCTGATGTAACGTCCTGAGAGAGCTGCACGTCAACAGATCTGCTTTTTTAAAAACACAGCCTGAAGGTAAAACTGCAGAACAAACAGATCTAACAACAACAACTCTGCAGCTGCTGCTTTCTGGTTTTTATTTTTGAAAGTCTCTTTTAGCTGCACATCCTCTAAACTTTGCATCTCTGCTGATCGTTTTCTTTTTCAAACCCTCCGTCGGTCCTTCCAGGCAGCCGTTTGAAAGATGTCCAAACAAAGACTTAAAACTTAACTAATCCATCACACTCAGCATTTAAGTTAAGTCTCTATATGACAGGACCTTTTCCACCTTTAACCCTTCAGTCAAGCCCAGATGGGCAATTAGAAACACACAGATGTAAATCAAACAAACTGCAGGTATCATCCTTTATCAAGCTGCTGAACTCTAAATCTTAGTCCAATAGAGCAAAGTGCAATAGCTTCACCAGCACTTTAATTCTTAGTCACTTTTTAAGATGTCGTATTGTCTGTGCAGTCAAACACGTCTCTCATGTTTTAAGATGTTGATTTTAAGCTGATTTTATGATGGTTCCTTTCTTTGTGTTATGAAGCTACAGGTTGAAGCTTTGTGCACAAGACAAATATCACAATAAAGAGAAGGACATATCACACAAATCTCAAAGGAGAAGTAAAAACACATAAGTGCACTATGTTTTAGTACCAGTAAGATAAAGGCAATATTTACCAGATATTACCCTTACTGTTGGAGTTTAAAATGGATTTGTGAACATTATTTGAGAGCAATAGGCCTTTTGTGTACATAGAGAAAGTCTTAGATCTTTGAGTTCAGCTCATGATGAATGGGGGAAAATATAATAATTTTGTTCACTGTTTTCTTTTGGTCCAATTAAACCTTTCATTTGTTATTTAACATTTCTTGTTGCAAGCATTTTTAACAAATGCGTTTAGAAAGTGGTGGCGTCTCCAGTGTAAATGACACCGATGCAAAGCAGCTGAAATCAAAGATGCTGCAGGATTTCTTCCTCGCTCCAACTTTATTTATAAGCACATTTAAAATAATAAGTAAAAAATAAATAACTACAAAAATAAATCCGACTATAAAATAGCAACATACAAGTTTCAAGCTGGGTTAAAAGCCGAGAACGTAAACAAGGTAACGTAAATAAAATGTTTGAAATAAAAAAGTGAAAAACAAAACTTTATGTTTAAACCTAAGTTGCTTAAATAATCCTTTTTCCAAAACCTAAGAGAGGTTTCAGGATGAGTGGATTAATTACTCTAATATGATCTCAGTGGATTCTGTACGCACACTTTCCATCCTGCACCAATCTCCTTAATTTTGTTTTATTATTTGTTTGGTGAGAGTCAGAAATCACCTGTAACACACCTGTGTGATGTTTGAGCTGTTTGTGCTTCACGTGATATCAGAGGTGTTGTAACTGTCTTCAGGTGTAGCAGCTCCACAGTAGCTTTGTTATCCTCATTATCATCAGCTTGGCCTTCCTTTTCAGTGTAATTAGTGCTGAGCTGCAGCTGTGAGCGACGGCCCCGGGGGGCCCCCGACTGACTCCCGCAGGCCCACGCTTAGTAAACACTCGGGTGAGTTCAGCACTGTGCGGGTGGATGAGCTGGTACAAAGTGTGTTTCCCAAAAACCCACAGAGAACAGCAACAGTACAAAAGTCCTCTTTACTCGAAGCTAATTAGCAGGTGAAAATAATTTATCAGAGGTTCTTCTCCAGGATATATGTAGACTAGCTTGGTACAAAGACTGGAAGAACGGGTAAACTTCTAGCCTAGCTTCATCAAAAGAAAGAAAATCAGAACCTGAGCCTCTCCAGTGGATGTACAGAAAGATAGTCGGTTCAGGTTAGCAAACAGTTACATTCAGCAGCTTCAGGAAAAGCTTCTTGTTAAAACTGGATAATTTAGTAAGAACTAGGGCATTATCAATTAATCTGTCGTTTATTAGGTCCACAACCCAAATACACTCCGTTTACCGTCACAGAGGAGCAAAGAAACCAGAAAATATTCACATTCAAGAAGCTGGAATCAGAGAACTGAACTAATCCAAGCGATTCATTTAATAGTGAAACTTTAACGACTAATCGTTACAGCTCTAGTGGGAACATATTAAACAGGAGAAACGACTTGTTATAGAAATAACAACCAGTGGAAACTCAGCCTGGACTGATAAATATATAAGGTAACTGTGTCTGTGAAGGTTCTCAGTCATCCAGGTCATAGTTATCCAAAGAATGTTAAAGTCAAGTTGCCCTCGACTTTAAACTTCTTTGGATTAAATAATTGTACATTTCGATTTTTGCTGTTCCTGTATTTTTAATTTTTTTTAAATTTCATATTTGATACCTATTAATTAGTTTTTTTTTAAATTTATTTTTTGTCTATTAATACACACACACTTACTGTTTTTTTATTGTATTTTATTTGTAATATTAATTTATTTTTATATAAAATTATTTTTTTAACACAAACACACTGTTACTATTTTAGTTACGTTGTTTAATGAAATGTATGAAATTAACGGTTCTTTTGTAATTTATTTGTAGCTTTGGCTATATTGTTGTTTTGCGTTGATGCCAATAAAGCTAGATTGAATTGAAATAAAAGTCCTGAAGTCTTGTGTTTTGGTCCCGTGCAGTTATTCCTGACATATGTTTGTGCGGCGTGTCCTCTCTCCAGGTCTTTGTGATGAAGAGGAGGACGTGTGGATCAGATCCGACTTAGTGGGCCTCACCTGAAGCTGCTCACCTGTCCTCTAACTTATCTTTTAGAAGCTCTTCTGTGCACACGACTGTGTGAAGGATCTCTGCTGAGCTTTCTTTCATTTGTTTCTTGTTCAAAGGGTTCTTCATCATCCGAGTCGCGGCTCTGAGTCTGCTGTGAAGATTGTAAAGCCCCTTGAGGAAAATTGTGATTTATGATATTTAGCTGTATAAATCAGAACTGGCTTGACTTGTAGGACTAATCGTGGCCATGGCTGTGCTGTGATTGTTGTATTATACATAACAGGGAGCCACAGCAGCACTGGCTGCAGGCTCAGCAGCAGGTCATGTGGGAGACCTGGTTGTCCTGGAGGAAACTCTCTGAGGGAAACTGAACACGCTGACTGAAGAGCAGCTGCGGGAGGTAAGACCAGACGCCCGGTGCAGTCTGAAGAAGAAGAAGACGATGGCGGAGCGTCCAGCGGCAGCAGGAGGCGACATCAGCCTGCAGGACGTCCTGAGAGGACGGACAGATGGAGCTGAGAGGACCAGCTCCTGCATGATCCGAGTGTTCGTCAGCTCCACGTTCACAGGTCAGAGCAGTTTAAACTCCCTGATTATGGTCTCAGGATCCAGGAGTGCTTCTTCTGTCTGCAGTGGGGCTGCAAATAATAATAATGTCGATTATGTTCTGGAATAATCAATTAGTTGTTGGGTCCGGAAAATTGTGAAAAATGTCGTTCAGTGTTTGAAATAAAAACCCCAGAGGTGACGTCCTCAAACGTCTTGGTTTGTCCACAACCCAAACTATATTCAGTTTACTGAGGAAAGAAACCAGAAAATACTCACAGTCAGAGAATTTGGAGGTTTTTTCTTTATAAAAGGGCTCAAAGCGAATAATCGATTATCAGAATAGTTGGTGATTAATTTAATAGTTGCCATGTGCCCGTGTGTGTGTTGCACTTAGCAGGAACATCAATTAAAGGGCAATAAGATTGGAACATGTGAAAAAACAGGGGTTGATGTGGTTGTAGAAAATCACGTTCTGTAAACCTGTGAGAAATTTCTAAATCTGTAGAGAAGATGAGACATAATGTTTGTTTTTACACTTCAAAGCAGGGCTGAAATTTGCACTTGTTTCTTAAACATGTAAGTTTTAGGATTTTATTCTGCAACCACATATTTTCTACATGTTTGTAACCCCTCTGGAGATCATTTACCAAACTCAATACTCTTATCGATCCTTATCATAGCCCGTAAACCTTGACTAAAATGTGAAGCGTACTTTATTTTCAGTGTGATGAATGATACACGTTTCAGGAGTCTTAGATTAGAAACCAGTGGCTGCCTGGAATTATAGGAAGAAAACGTCAGAACGTTTAAACACTAACGTGGTTTGAAAAATGGTTCCAGCATTTGTGACAGTAAGTCACTATTGAAATTACAATGTCAAAAGTACATATTTCAGGCATTGGGATTTTTTAAGGGCCTTTTTCAGAAACTTACAGGTGTGAAAGTTGTGGGAGGATGTGCAGCACAGATGAGAGGTGATTTGGTGCCAATATATTCACAAATGAGCAAGCTATTGAAATTATTCATTTGTAATATGCATATTTAAGAATTTAATCAATTAATTAATTAATTTTCATGTTTACAAACTTACAGGTGTGAAATGTTTGAGGGTGGTCACTAGTTATATTAGCAGTGGTTTGAGATTTTTATGTTGAAAAACAAAAAAGTTATTGAAGATTGAAATGGATGTGTTGCAATTTGCAGACGGTCCCTAACTCCCCCTGCAGCCACAGGTGCATTTGACAGACATTCAGTGCATTGCGCTCTCAACTGCATCCTTATCTTCAGTGATTTTGAGGTGATCACAGCTGTGAAACTTCTGCCTGAATTAGCTCTCCAATATATCCCCAAACTGGAAGAAATGGAGATTTTGACACGGAGCTATTGAAGGTAACAGGCGCGAAAAACCGACGAATGTCGAATATTAAACTAACTTCACCCAGGTGCGGCAGTTAAGTAGTAAATGAGCTCAAACATTCAAAAACACTGGACGGGAATTTAAATTTCACCATTGTCTTAAATAAACGTTAAAATAATTAGTCTGCATCTTGACAGGTTTGGATTTTTCCTCAATTATGGATCATTTTTAAGTTTTCTGTATACAGCTTTGTTGTCAGATAAACTGTACGTCAGGCAGCAGACAGGATGTTTTGAAAACAATTTCGACAAGGCTTAATTTAGTAAGATAAACGTTATTGCTAGGCAGAAATATAGCGACAGTATCTCACAACAGTGAGTAAACCCTCACATTTTTGTAAATATTTGATTGAACACTGAAGAAATGACTGTGCTACAGTGTAAAGTAGTGAGCGGACAGCTTGTCTAACAGTGGAAAGTAGTGAAACAGTGGAAAGTAGTGAGCGTGCAGCTTGTCTAACAGTGGAAAGTAGTGAGCGTGCAGCTTGTATAACAGCGTAAAGTAGTGAGCGTACAGCTTGTCTAACAGTGTAAAGTAGTGAGCGGACAGCTTGTCTAACAGTGGAAAGTAGTGAAACAGTGGAAAGTAGTGAGCGTGCAGCTTGTCTAACAGTGGAAAGTAGTGAGCGTGCAGCTTGTCTAACAGTGGAAAGTAGTGAAACAGTGTAAAGTGAGCAGACAGCTTGTCTAACAGTGGAAAGTAGTGAGCGTGCAGCTTGTATAACAGCGTAAAGTAGTGAGCGTGCAGCTTGTCTAACAGTGTAAAGTAGTGAGCGGACAGCTTGTCTAACAGTGTAAAGTAGTGAGCGGACAGCTTGTCTAACAGTGTAAAGTAGTGAAACAGTGGAAAGTAGTGAGCGGACAGCTTGTCTAACAGTGGAAAGTAGTGAAACAGTGGAAAGTAGTGAGCGTGCAGCTTGTCTAACAGTGGAAAGTAGTGAGCGTGCAGCTTGTCTAACAGTGGAAAGTAGTGAAACAGTGTAAAGTGAGCAGACAGCTTGTCTAACAGTGGAAAGTAGTGAGCGTGCAGCTTGTCTAACAGTGGAAAGCAGTGAAACAGTGGAAAGTAGTGAGCGTGCAGCTTGTCTAACAGTGGAAAGTAGTGAGCGTGCAGCTTGTCTAACAGTGGAAAGCAGTGAAACAGTGGAAAGTAGTGAGCGTGCAGCTTATCTAACAGTGGAAAGTAGTGAGCGTGCAGCTTGTCTAACAGTGGAAAGTAGTGAGCGTGCAGCTTGTCTAACAGTGGAAAGCAGTGAAACAGTGGAAAGTAGTGAGCGTGCAGCTTATCTAACAGTGGAAAGTAGTGAGCGTGCAGCTTATCTAACAGTGGAAAGTAGTGAGCGTGCAGCTTGTCTAACAGTGGAAAGTAGTGAGCGTACAGCTTGTCTAACAGTGGAAAGTAGTGAGCGTGCAGCTTATCTAACAGTGGAAAGTAGTGAGCGTGCAGCTTGTCTAACAGTGGAAAGTAGTGAGCGTGCAGCTTGTCTAACAGTGGAAAGCAGTGAAACAGTGGAAAGTAGTGAGCGTGCAGCTTGTCTAACAGTGGAAAGTAGTGAGCGTGCAGCTTGTCTAACAGTGGAAAGTAGTGAGCGTGCAGCTTGTCTAACAGTGGAAAGTAGTGAGCGTGCAGCTTGTCTAACAGTGGAAAGTAGTGAGCGTACAGCTTGTCTAACAGTGGAAAGTAGTGAGCGTGCAGCTTGTCTAACAGTGGAAAGCAGTGAAACAGTGGAAAGTAGTGAGCGTACAGCTTATCTAACAGTGGAAAGTAGTGAGCGTGCAGCTTGTCTAACAGTGGAAAGCAGTGAAACAGTGGAAAGTAGTGAGCGTGCAGCTTGTCTAACAGTGGAAAGCAGTGAAACAGTGGAAAGTAGTGAGCGTGCAGCTTATCTAACAGTGGAAAGTAGTGAGCGTGCAGCTTGTCTAACAGTGGAAAGTAGTGAGCGTACAGCTTGTCTAACAGTGGAAAGTAGTGAGCGTGCAGCTTGTCTAACAGTGGAAAGCAGTGAAACAGTGGAAAGTAGTGAGCGTACAGCTTATCTAACAGTGGAAAGTAGTGAGCGTGCAGCTTGTCTAACAGTGGAAAGCAGTGAAACAGTGGAAAGTAGTGAGCGTGCAGCTTGTCTAACAGTGGAAAGCAGTGAAACAGTGGAAAGTAGTGAGCGTGCAGCTTATCTAACAGTGGAAAGTAGTGAGCGTGCAGCTTGTCTAACAGTGGAAAGTAGTGAGCGTGCAGCTTGTCTAACAGTGGAAAGTAGTGAGCGTGCAGCTTGTCTAACAGTGGAAAGTAGTGAGCGTACAGCTTGTCTAACAGTGGAAAGTAGTGAGCGTGCAGCTTGTCTAACAGTGGAAAGCAGTGAAACAGTGGAAAGTAGTGAGCGTACAGCTTATCTAACAGTGGAAAGTAGTGAGCGTGCAGCTTGTCTAACAGTGGAAAGCAGTGAAACAGTGGAAAGTAGTGAGCGTGCAGCTTGTCTAACAGTGGAAAGCAGTGAAACAGTGGAAAGTAGTGAGCGTGCAGCTTATCTAACAGTGGAAAGTAGTGAGCGTGCAGCTTGTCTAACAGTGGAAAGTAGTGAGCGTACAGCTTGTCTAACAGTGGAAAGTAGTGAGCGTGCAGCTTATCTAACAGTGGAAAGTAGTGAGCGTGCAGCTTATCTAACAGTGGAAAGTAGTGAGCGTACAGCTTGTCTAACAGTGGAAAGTAGTGAGCGTACAGCTTGTCTAACAGTGGAAAGTAGTGAGCGTGCAGCTTGTCTAACAGTGGAAAGTAGTGAAACAGTGTAAATTTGCTGTGTAGGGCAGAAATATTTAAGCTAATCAAGTTTGAGATGGGACATCACCTCCTCCACCCAGCGCTTGTGAGATGGTGGCATAGCTTTCTTCCAGTTAAGAAGTATTAGACATCTAGCAAGTGAGGTGGAGAATGCTATAGGCTCCTGGTTAATGGTTTTTCCTGCTGGACAAACGATGCGGTCGATGGGTTAGGATTAACATATATGGACAAGTATTAAATATAGCTGCAAGCAGCAATAATTATGCAGATGCAGGCAACGTAAGAGATATAAAGTGATGAAATAATTTGGCCTCAAAGCCTTTTTTGAGATAACTGCAGAAACACAAACTTATTCTTACAGCATCACCTTGAAATGAATAAGCTGTATTCCTCACTGTTTCATGTATTCACATTTCTGTTTACGTCTGTTATATCACTGATTCTCCCGTGTCTCTGCTCAGATATGGGCAGTGAAAGGAAAGCCCTGCTTGAGAAAGCTTACCCAGAAGTCCTTGCGTTCTGTCGCAGTCTTGGGCTGGTGTTCGAGGTCAGTTTCCCACTTTGAATGTACTTTAAAAACAAAGTAATCCAGTAACACATAATACGATATAAAATGTGAATATATGTCATTGATCAGTGAGGTCACTTCCTGTTCAGGTGGTGGATCCGTGTTGGGGGATTCGAAGTGTCCCGTCAGGAGACCATGAGGCCTGCGAGATCTTCCTGCAGGAGATCAAGAACTGTAAGAGGATTTCAGCCGGACCAGCTTTCATTGTGAGTCTCTGATCTTCCTTAAATTATAATCTAGATTTAATTGTTTGTGTCACATGATTGAACTCTTTTTAAAATATACAATATCTCATAAAAGTGAGTCCACCCCCCTGACTTTGTAAATATCTGATTATATCTTTTCATGTGACAACACATATGATATAATGTAAAGTAGTGAGTGTGCTGCTTGTATAACAGTGTAAACACAGCCATGTCTAACTAAAAATAGTCATTTTTTTCCAAAACATCCTTTCCACTGCCCTGGCGTACAGTTTATCTGATAACAAAGCTGTATTTAGAAAACAAAATTATCTATTATTTAAGAAAATGGTGCGGTGAAATTTAAATTCCTGTACTTGAAAAGGACGGCTCCAGTGTTTTTGAATGTTTGAGCTCATTTACTACTAAACTACAGTGACTTACTGTCACAAATGCTGGAACCATTTTTCAAACCACGTTAGTGTTTAAACGTTCTGACGTTTTCTTCCTATAATTCCAGGCAGCCACTGGTTTCTAATCTAAAACTCCTGAAACGTGTATCATTCATCACACTGAAAATAAAGTACGCTTCACATTTTTCGTCAGCGTTTACGGACTATGATAAGGATCGATAAGAGAAGTTTCTCTAATCCCCTGCAAGAACCACTGCTTTAAATCAGCTTTCCAGTCCTGGAAAAGTCCTTGGAAAATAGACTAAATGTCCTGAAAACAATGAAAAATCTCTTAAATTTCCCTTATGTTAAAACCCATTTTTGCAATGTTTGTTTTAGAGCTGCAACGATTCATTGATTAGTTGTCAACTATTAAATGAATCACCAGCTATTTTAATAATGAATTCATCGCTGTGAGTCCAAATTCTCTGATTCCAGCTTCTGAAATGTGAATATTTTCTGGTTTCTGTGCTCCTCTGTGACGGTAAACTGAATATATTTTTGGCTGTGGACAAAATAAGACATTTGAGGACGTCACCTCGGGCTTTGGGAAACACTGATCAACACTTTTCACAATTTTCTGGATCTATCAACCAATGGATTTATCGAGGGGAAAAATCAACAGATTTACGGAAGGTGAAAATAACCCTTGGCTGCAGCTCCTAGTTTGTTTGTCTACTTACTTTATCTCTCTATAGAATTAAAGTAATTTCATTGTTAGATGTTAATTTGCTCGTGAACGGAGGGCTGCTAATTATTTATTTGATGTGTAGAAAATTCAAATGTCTTGTTTTTTCTGACCAACGGTACAAAAATCTGAAATATTCAGTTTACTGTGATATGAAAACAGAAAATCCTCTCAAACGAAAAGAAGGTACATTTTTTAAGTTTAGCTTGAAAAAGTATTCAAACCACAACTTGTTTTATGAAATTTTCTGTCAATCTACTGATAATTTCAGCTCTTACTTGATCAAATTCTAAAGAGGCTCTTTATATGTTGTCAAATCCCCCCAAATGTATTTTGGTTTTTGTCAGACGTCCTCGCTTCATCTGAAACTCCGGCTCTGTTGAGCGGGGAGGTGAAGATGGGATCATATGACATCGCTGAAGACTCAATCAGTGATTGGCTGAACTGAAATAAGATGTTCTCAGACGTCCTCGTCCTGTTTACAGGTTTCCTCCTCTGGGAAACCTGTAAACAAACCACATTACACATTTCTGTTGGAGGACATGTTGAAGCATGTGGTAATATCATCTTTCAGCTCCTCTTCTTCTATTTGTTTTCCTACGTCTGGGCTCCAAAGGCGCTGCTGGGGAACCGGTACGGCGTCCGAGCTCTTCCTCGCCTCATCCCGGAGAAGCAGTTTGAAGTTCTTTTGTCTAAACTCTCCAAAAACCGTGAAGGCGTCAAGAAGCTGAATCAGTGGTTCTTGAAAGACGACAATGCGGTCCCACCCACCTACGTCCTTCAGCCAATCACGGCTCACTTCCCCCACTACAGCGACCTCCGACCTGAGAGTGGGCCTCAGCGGGACAAAAACGTCCTTTCCTGGCGTTGCACAGAGACTCAACTGTTGCAGCTCCTACGCTCCGCCGCCACGGACGCCGAGGCGGCTGGTGACATCACAGCCGAGCAGAAACAACACTTCTTCACATCAGGTCAGAGACGCCTCGCACAGCCTGTCCTTTGTTGTCTCAGAATTATAAGTGTTTTCCTCTTCTCGTCCAGTCACAGAGCGAGAGTTCGAGGAGGGCTTGTGGATGGACGATGGCGAACCGTCGGCTCTGATATTCGTCCGAGAGATTCCACGCCAAAGGGCAAGGGATGGTCCCAAACGCTTTGCCAAGTTCATGGACCTGACCGCCGGCGGTCTGCTGGACGCGGAAGCCCAGGGACTCCTCACCGGCCTCAAGTCCCGCCTCTACGCCACGTTCCAGAAGATCCTCAACCTGCACTGCGTGGAGCTCTGCAAAGGAAGCATCGACCCAAAACGCAAAGAGCACGCTCAGTACCTGGACAGCGTCTGTGAGCAGTTTGTCTCACAGATGACGGCCAGGATCGCAGCGGCGGTCGGTCCGTCGGTGGAGCGGCGCCGGCGGCGGGGGAAGGTTTGGGGAAGTATTGAGGAAGAAAAAGGGGAAATCTCAGAGCAGGTGGTTGAAGAGGTTGAACGGCATGCCGCCATGAGCTCCGAGCTGTGCAGAGGTTTCTACGGCAGGGAGGGTCTTCTGGGTAAGCTCTGCTTAGCCATGTGGGAGTCCACCAACGTCCATCACGGCCCGCTGGTGGTGCACGGCGCCACTGGGATGGGTAAGACGGCTCTTCTGTGCAAGCTGGCGCAGGAGATGCGTAGAGTCCTGGAGGCCGGGGTGGTGGTGGTCCGGCTGCTGTCAGTTCGTCATCCTCAGAGACCCGACATCGACCACGTCCTCTGCAGCGTCTGCCTCCAGATCTGTTTGGCATGTGGTCTGGCTCCGCCCACGCCACCGATGACCAGCACTCACCTGGAGCTGCTCCGGCTCTTCAGGAACGTCCTCGCCGAGGTTTCCCAGCAGGGGAACACTCTGCTCGTCATCCTGGACGCTCTGGATCAGCTCTCAGACCAGCATCACGCTCACAAACTCCGCTGGCTGCCCGCCGACCTCCCGCCCAACGTCCACCTGGTGGTTTTCAATGGACACCAACAGCGAGGCGTTCGCTAACATGCGGCTGAAGTCGGAGACTTTGGAGAGTTTCTTTGAAGTGGAGCGTTTGTCTCGTGATGAAGGGAAACAGATCATGGAGTCGTACCTGCGAGCGTCTCAGCGAACGTTGACCCCCGAGCAGAGCGACGCCGTGCTGCAGAGCTTCGCGCCCGCAGGGTGTCCTCTGCACCTCAAACTGATCCTGTCTGCCGCCAAACGCTGGACGTCCTTCACCCCGCTCACAGAGATACACCTGGGCGCCAACACACAGGAAATGATGTCACAGATCTTCCTGATGCTGGAGGAGAAACATGGGAAGGAGCTGGTGGGCGCGGCCTTGGGATACATCACTCTGGCAAGGTGAGGGGTCCCGTGTACGTATTTCTGTGGACAGTTGGCGTTAATACTGTATGCTAGTGCTAATTAGCCACCTAGCCTAAAAACCTACGTTGCACTTACTTACAAATAAGGTATTTCGATTTGATTAGACGCATGGAAACAAATTCTTAATCTATAAAAGTGGAGAACCAATAGCACGCTCTGTTGTCCAAAAAGTAAATTAAAAGGCACTTAGTATTCTCAATCATCAGAATAACATACCTGTCAGAGTAGAAATGGTTTTGAACCAACATCTAACCCATAATTTATTTCAGCAGGATAAAATGTACAGAAAATATATTTGAACAAAACTTTCCTGCAGTTTTCAACCTTGCTCAGTTTACTGTAGAGATTCTTCTCTTTCTTTTGGAAAAAAAAAAATATTAGCAATAAACCAAAAACTACACTACTTCAGTAACCTGTGTTCCTACGGAAGCCCAAAGAGGCCATCCATTTTATTTTTTTATCGTGATAACGAGTTAATTTAGTTTGTTCTCTCGAGATCTGGAGTTATTTATCTCATTATCTCCAAATAACAAATGTTGTTTTTCCTGAGATTTACCAGATCATTTTCTCATGATCTCAGGAAAATTAAACTTTGTTTTCGAAAAAAAATATTGAAAAATGTAAACAGTGTGTGCGAACTATACCATGGCTTGCGGGGGAGCTCGCTGATTCTTACTGCTGTATCATTATTAGCTGCAAGCATGTAGGCCTGGGCTGACTGTGAAAGTGTCAGGCATGTTTGTCTTATTATTATTATTATTATTATTATAATAAGAAAAATATTAATATTATTATCATATGTAGCCATTTTGCTACAATTACGCTTCACACAAGAGCTGTTTGTGACCTGACCTTTCTTTTCTCCGTGAGAGGGAAGAATTTTGAAAAGTTGCTGCGGGGAGCCTCCAGCTGCAGTACTGCGTGGATCATGCGTTATATCCATCCCGACAGAACGATCACGAACTGTTTACAGCGCGTCTGTCGTACTAGCGACACAACCCGTACCGGAGAGGGAGCGGGGCGGACCGGGGCCAGGAGATGGCGGAGCGACCGGCCCGATCGAAATTATTGGCAATAAATCATGCTGTCAGTATTTTAGAGACCCCCCAAAATATCACAAATCACGTTTTTAGGGGAGCTGATGTCTTGTTAAGGGGAGCTAAACTCCCCCGTAGTTTGCGCCCTGTATTTAAATTAGCGCTGGGCAACAATTAAAAAATGTAATGGCATTGTTATGCACAAAATTGAATAATGAATTCTAGAGTCATGTATTGCCACTTTTAATTTAAATGTACTGCTATATACACAAAAGATAATAACGTGGTTTGCAAACACTTTAAACAGATAAGGAGCTTTTCACCAGCAGTGTTCTCTTCACACAGTAGCAATAAAACCCCGTAAGTCACTTTGGATAAAAGCGTCAGCTAAATGAATAAATGTAAACAGGACATCAGCAGGAGGGAATTCACACAGCAGAGCTGCAAAACTAGATGAAGGCCTGTCAGGGAAAGTTATGCAGCCTGTCATTTTAATTTAAGCTAAATAGGCTAGAGCGCCCGCCGTTTACTCGCGGAGCGTTTGTCTCCCTGTCTGATCACCTGAGGAGCGCAGAGCGACCCCGCGGGGCCGAGAGAATACGCTGTGATTTTAAGGACGTTCCTCAGACCGACATCTTCCCCAACGCTAAGCAGCAACGTCTCCGCTTGGCGTTTGATCGCTTGTCTTGCTTTTGTTTATCTGCTTCTCCCTCTCGCTGCATCCAGTCTGCCGAAGCCTCCGCTGCTTGTTCGGGTGGCTGACTTGCAGGCGGATCAACACATTTCGAGATCTTGAGAAAATTATCCCGTTATCTCGGGAAAACGGAGTAAATGAAAACGTCTTCTGACTCCTCAGGGAAGGCCTCTTGGAGGCGGAGCTGCGTGACCTGATGTCCCTGGATGATGATGTCATCAGTGAGGTGTACAGGTACTCCATCCCTCCGACGCCCTCGTTGATCCGGCTGCCCTCCCTCCTCTGGGCTCGGCTCAGACGGGACCTCGAGGATCAGCTGGAGGAGCGCTGGACTGGCGGGGTCGCGGCCATCGCCTTCAACAACCGGTAAAGAGAAAAATCCGTAGATGAATGATCACTGAGGTCAAAGGTTGAATGTTTGAGTACTGTGTGTGTGTGTGTGTGTGTGTGCAGGCGTCTGTGCGAGGCGGTTTCAGCTCGGTATCTGACATCAGAGCGGCGGGGGCGGAGCCTCAGGATCCTGGCAGAGTACTTCCTGGGTCGCTGGTCGGGGAAACTGAAGCCGGTGACTCTGCCGGGCCTGTCGCTGCTCCTGTCTGACAGAAAGGTACCTACGATCAGGGGAGGGACGGAAGATAAAAGAAATCCACCGGCCAAAACAATAAACTGTGTGACATATAAATTAAATATATATTAAATATGAAGCAAAATTAGTTTTAGTGTAAATTGCTTATAAACTTACAAGATGCTTATTGATCATTCACTCCCAATCATCCTTTATCATTCAACCTCCTGATCAGACTGCTCACTCTCCACGTCGTAGCTCCTAACACGCTGTCATGTCAGGGCTTCTCCAAAACTAGACCCTCCCCACTTCCGCTCTGTCACGGAGTGAACTCTGGTCGCCAAATCGAGTTCCCGTAATGCGAAGGGTTTAAATACAGCAGCCGACTTTTGGGTGAACTTTCGTCTCGCTAGGGTAAACAGGATGTGACGTCACTGCTGGACCATCACTCCCCGCTATCACACGTCAAACAAACAGCAGCTGTATTTAAGATTCACGACGTTGAGGAAAAGTGTTTTGTAATAACGAAACTGAAGCCATTTGTTTATTATTTTATGATCTGTACCAAATTATTTTGGTTTGATTTATAATATTTCTTTAAGACGTTGACTGGTTCAGCTATTAATTTATGAAAAAGAAACATCCTGTTCTTTTCTGATAAGATTGTTATTGATTGTAAAAGACTAGGCTAGATACACTCACCTAAAGGATTATTAGGAACACCTGTTCAGTTTCTCATTAATGCAATTATCTAATCAACCAATCACATGGCAGTTGCTTCAATGCATTTAGGGGTGTGGTCCTGGTCAAGACAATCTCCTGAACTCCAAACTGAATGTCAGAACGGGAAAGAAAGGTTGTTGGTGCCAGACGGGCCGGTCTGAGTATTTCACAATCTGCTCAGTTACTGGGATTTTCACACACAACCATTTCTAGGGTTTACAAAGAACGGTGTGAAAAGGGAAAAACATCCAGTATGCGGCAGTCCTGTGGGTGAAAATGCCTCGTTGATGCTAGAGGTCAGAGGAGAATGGGCCGACTGATTCAAGCTGATAGAAGAGCAACTTTGACTGAAATAACCACTCGTTACAACCGAGGTATGCAGCAAAGCATTTGTGAAGCCACAACACGCAGAACCTTGAGGCGGATGGGCTACAACAGCAGAAGACCCCACCGGGTGCCACTCATCTCCACTACAAATAGGAAAAAGAGGCTACAGTTTGCAAGAGCTCACCAAAATTGGACAGTTGAAGACTGGAAAAATGTCTGCCTGGTCTGATGAGTCTTGATTTCTGTTGAGACATTCAGATGGTAGAGTCAGAATTTGGCGTAAACAGAATGAGAACATGGATCCATCATGCCTTGTTAGCACTGTGCAGGCTGCTGGTGGTGGTGTAATGGTGTGGGGATGTTTTCTTGGCACACTTTAGGCCCCCTTAGTGCCAACTGGGCATGGTTTAAATGCCACGGCCTACCTGAGCATTGTTTCTGACCATGTCCATCCCTTTATGGCCACCATGTACCCATCCTCTGATGGCTACTTCCAGCAGGATAATGCACCATGTCACAAAGCTCCAATCATTTCAAACTGGTTTCTTGAACATGACAATGAGTTCACTGTACTAAAATGGCCCCCACAGTCACCAGATCTCAACCCAATAGAGCATCTTTGGGATGCGGTGGAACGGGAGCTTCGTGCCCTGGATGTGCATCCCACAAATCTCCATCAACTGCAAGATGCTATCCATCAATATGGGCCAACATTTCTAAAGAATGCTTTCAGCACCTTGTTGAATCAATGCCACGTAGAATTAAGGCAGTTCTGAAGGCGAAAGGGGGTCAAACACAGTATTAGTATGGTGTTCCTAATAATCCTTTAGGTGAGTGTATGTTGAACATTTTTATCATACATGGAAAACAGGTCTAAAAATAAACCTTGCAAACTAGAAATCAAACATTATATTAAATCATTGTGGTGTAAAGAATAGTAAAGCAATTAAACAGATTAATGTTTATGTTGCTTGTTACTGATACCCCCCCGTGTATTTGGTTGTGTCATCTTCTATTATTCGTTTTACAGACTTTTCTTATGAGATTCAATAAAAAAACAGTTGTGTTGTCAGACAAGAGCTTTTTATTTTATTAAACACAATCTAACCTTTAGGCCGCCGTTGTTAACATGTGTATGGCGATATGAAATGTTAGTGTAGTTTCTGAATGTAAAAATCCTCCACGGAGTCACACGGAGCAGCAGAGGCTGTTACACGCCTTCAACAAGCACTTGTCGTGAACCGACCAATCGCAGCCCGGATGGGGCGGGACATTTAAAGATATTGACAGACAGGTGTCATTTACACTGGGGACGCTGGGGACAGGTTCAGGATCAGACTGTCTCCAACACTTTTTGAAAGCTTTTGTTAAAAAATGTTCTGAAAAACAGCAACAAGAAATGTTGAACAACAAATAAAACAATGCACGATAAGAAACTAATGTGCATCGTCCAACAGCTGGTTACTGAATTAGATTCCATTATGTTTGATGAACCGCTCTAGTTTGTGTGTTACGTGATTTTAGATCAGCTGTTAGAGCGGGGAGCAATTTCATTTTGACTCACAACAAACAAGAACGCTGGTCTGTTGCTAAATAGCTATTATATCAGCGATCAAACCAAATGTATTTGCTGCCGGTGTGGCAGATACCTTCCTCTGCGATGTTCATTTCCAGCCCTGCCGACCGCGACTGTAACAACGACAGGACTATTTTATTTACATTTTAACATGATATAAAGATGACGACATGTCAGGTTGTCCCAACACTTCCTCGAACAAGAGAACTACCAGCTACTGTTCAGACATTCCTGCTCTCCAGAGGATGAACCTTGTAGATTTACTGCCTGTACTTGAAGTATACTGAGGCCTTCAGGCCCTCAGGGAAGATAAATCATCCACGTGGTGCTGTTCTTTCCAACACGTTCACATGATGGCTGGAGTTACCTGATACTATACGCAGGAACTACTGTAAATAAATGTTCAATTTTGAGGTACAAGTACTTTTATGCTACTTTATGCTTTTACCGCACTGCGTCGCTGCCACCTACTACAGGAAAAACGCCTGGTCTCCTTTGAAAGGTCAGAAGCTGAGGAATATAAATCCATTGGACATTAACATATTATTTTACCATTACAGACTACATGGAGATGCAATACAGAAGAAAATCTGATGTTTTCATCCTCGTCTGGTGAAAAAAGCTCTATTTTAATGCAATAAACCATCAAAACATCCTAAGGTAGATTATAATGCACCTGAATATCTTCTAATCCACCTGGAATAAAACTGTAACTGTAAATCTGATGAAAAGAAACTGATATACGACAGTTATTACACAATCTTTCAAAAATACACCAGGCGAATGTCCATGTTTTGGCCATATTTACTGTTTCTATGTTCACTTTTATTGGGAGTTATCTTCAAAACATTATTTCTCTCCACACAACCACGTTCCAAATAACATAAAGCTTCCAAAACATTGAAATATTGATAAAAACAGGCAATATTCCTGTGACCAAAAGCACTCCCACGCTTTACAGGCCACAGCTTGAGAACAGAACATCCTGCATCGACAAATCGATTGATATCCTGCAGGTCTGTGTAGCTCCTGCGGGTCGCCAGCAGAGGCCGATAAAGACGGCCTCCGCCAAAGCAAACTCTTCTTCTCTACTTCAATCTGACGACAGAAAGGAAACTTATCGGCTCAGCCGACCTCAGCAAGATGGCGGCCCGCCAGGCGGTCTCTGTTGACACAAAGGGCCGCTGGTTTGGGAGGGTTTCGGGGGTCCGGTACCACGAGGTTAATAGTAAAAACAATCTTAATTTATAGATAACTTTTCAAAACTGTGTTACAAAGTGTTTTCACAAGAGCAAAGACGATATCACACACATATAAACAGACAACAAGATGCCCAGTAAAAGCGAGATGTATCAGGTCCACCAGGTGATGATGCATCAATAATAATAATCCAATAACATGGTGATGCAAATACTCTGGACTTTTAAAGTAACAAGTATTTTACTCGTAAAAGACTCAAAGATCTGAGTATTTCTTCCAGCACAGACAGAAACTGACAACCTGACCGTGGGAGGGATGTTCATGGTCTGTTTTGATTGGTTCTACGGTACCGCAGGTCCCGCCCCAGCCGCTGTGGTTTGCTCCGGGATTGGCTAACGTCAGGAAGCTCCAGGAGCTGCCCTATCAGCTGCTGCATGCAGGTCTGTGGGAGGAGCTACAGCAGGAGGTCATCGGTGAGATGTGGAAATATAATATAAATAACTAATGCTTTTATTACAAACATTAAATAATAAATGGATTATAATCCAGTCTTTCTGATGAAGTACATTGGATAGATTTATATTTATACGTGCATTAGAGGAGTATGTGAGCAACTTTAATCTCATTTGTGAGTCATCAGTCATGTAGATATGAAAATACCAGCATGCAGATAAAAACCGTCAGGACGAATAATTAATAAAATCTGGATATTATTGGTCACTTAATGTGTAATGTTCATATTTAAAGTAGATTATCGTGTTTCAAAGTGTTGTGTTTTTCAGGCAGTGCCGAGTGGCTGTACTGTAAGAGCAGGGTCTGCGGGGTGTCCAGTGTGATCCAGGACCTGGACCAGTGCTGCCAGTACATGGACTGCACTGAGACCAGGCTGGTCCGAGACACTCTGGTCCTGATCAAACCAAGTCTGGACTTCCTGGACGGTCACATGGGTCAGTTATTCTGCGTGGAAATGACATACAAACGCACAAACTGTCTGTCAGCATTTTACTTTTCTGAGGTTGAAAGAACCTGAAACAACATTTAGAACAAAAAACGTTCCTAAATAAATAAATGAGTTAATGAAAAAACGTGTTTAAGATGGAAACAAGTGCAGTAATATGTTTTCTTCTGGTTCCAGATATGTCTCTGTTTTACACTGAGCTGTTAGCCAGACTCTGCGCCTTGGCCACGCCTTTCCCCTCTGTGATTGGCCGGCTGTGTAGCCAGTGCGAGGAGTGGTTACTGACGTGTCCCGAGCCGATCCTCATTCCCAAGTGCAGTTTCCTGCAGCAGCCAGGGGGGGCGCTACAACACACACTGACCGGGCTGCAGGGAGGTCAGAAGTCTGAAATGTTACAGTGATTCCTGTGAGTGTTGATGTCGACCCGTTCTCATCTCAGGGCGTCACGTGGACGCTTGAAGGAAAACAAAGACCCCTTGGCGTCGCTTTTTAACGCCCTGGGCTCCCTTTAGCGTTGTTTTTGTATGTGTCGGGCTCTGCGGTCAAGTTAGCAACAGTAAATAGGCTTTTTACATAAAACCAGAGCTTAACATTGTGAAACATCAGTTTGGTCAGGTTTAGTACTCGTACCCGTGCGTCCCAAACACCTTCCTCAGACCTTTCTGTTAGTAGAAGTACTTTTAGCGCTGCAGGGTGTGTTGAACTATGACGTGAAACGGTGCCACGTTCCTCGTCCCCTGCAGTGCTGCTGTTCTTCATGGATCTTGTGTTTTTGTCCAGTTTGGATAATAACCAGCTTTAAGTGCCCCCTTCAGGTGTTCATCCTCCTCCTCTTGGGCTTGTTGGTATGTTGTCAGCTCGGCGGAGCAGGATTCTGGTGTCAGCTGGCTTATTGCTCCAGAGGCTGGGGAGCGTCAGGGGATCTTATTTTGACCACAAATACAGGCCGAAGATTTGTTTTCTCAGATTGTTCAGCCTTAAGAGGGAGTTTTGTGAGGTGTGAGAGGTGCAGCAGGTTTACCTGTCATCATCTCTTCAGGTGTTCTCTGTATGGACGTCGGTGTGGAGGCGGAGCTTCTGGTTGCAGGCTCAGATGATGGCGTGGTGGCGGTCTGGAGCCTCGCTGCCCAGCACCTCATACACTCACTGCTGGGACACACAGGTCGGTCTGCGTTGATGAAATATTATTATTATTATTAATACTAATAATAATAGTTTCCTGTGTAATCCGTGCTGTTTAGGTGCAGTTCTATCGGTCAAAGTGATTGACAGCTCCACTCGCTGCCTCTCATTGGCTGCTGACGGCTCCTTGAGGAGGTGGAGCCTGATGAACGGCCAACAGCTTCTCTGCATTCAGGAGGCGGTGCCTGTTGACTCCACCCCTTCCTCAGTACACCTGCACCTGTCTGAACTACTGCTCTTTGTTTACACCAGTACACAGGTACTGATATTACTAATACTACTGATATTACTAACACTACTGATATTACTAATACTACTGCTTCCACTGCTAATACTACTGATATTACTAATACTACTGATATTACTAATACTACTGCTTCCACTGCTAATACTACTGATATTACTAATACTACTGATATTACTAATACTACTGATATTACTAACACTACTGATATTACTAATACTACTGCTTCCACTGCTAATACTACTGATATTACTAATACTACTGATATTACTAATACTACTGCTTCCACTGCTAATACTACTGCTTCCACTGCTAATACTACTGCTTCCACTGCTAATACTACTGATATTACTAATACTACTGATATTACTAATACTACTGCTTCCACTGCTAATACTACTGCTTCCACTGCTAATACTACTGATATTACTAATACTACTGATATTACTAATACTACTGCTTCCACTGCTAATACTACTGATATTACTAATACTACTGCTTCCACTGCTAATACTACTGCTTCCACTGCTAATACTACTGCTTCCACTGCTAATACTACTGATATTACTAATACTACTGCTTCCACTGCTAATACTACTGATATTACTAATACTACTGCTTCCACTGCTAATACTACTGATATTACTAATACTACTGCTTCCACTGCTAATACTACTGATATTACTAATACTACTGCTTCCACTGCTAATACTACTGCTTCCACTGCTAATACTACTGATATTACTAATACTACTGCTTCCACTGCTAATACTACTGATATTACTAATACTACTGCTTCCACTGCTAATACTACTGATATTACTAATACTACTGCTTCCACTGCTAATACTACTGATATTACTAATACTACTGCTTCCACTGCTAATACTACTGCTTCCACTGCTAATACTACTGCTTCCACTGCTAATACTACTGATATTACTAATACTACTGCTTCCACTGCTAATACTACTGATATTACTAATACTACTGCTTCCACTGCTAATACTACTGATATTACTAATACTACTGCTTCCACTGCTAATACTACTGCTTCCACTGCTAATACTACTGCTTCCACTGCTAATACTACTGATATTACTAATACTACTGCTTCCACTGCTAATACTACTGATATTACTAATACTACTGCTTCCACTGCTAATACTACTGATATTACTAATACTACTGCTTCCACTGCTAATACTACTGATATTACTAATACTACTGCTTCCACTGCTAATACTACTGATATTACTAATACTACTGCTTCCACTGCTAATACTACTGATATTACTAATACTACTGATATTACTAACACTACTGATATTATTAATACTACTGATATTACTAACACTACTGATATTACTAACACTACTGATATTACTGATATTGCTAATACTACTACTATTCTTGCTGCTACTACAACTATTATTACTGCGACTGCCTGCCTGATACTTTTCTGTGCAGCAGTTACTACAATTTTCGTCGCTCACCTACATATTTTAAGCTCTGTGACCTTAAAATCCTGCAGTGGGAAGTTTTGTTTCCCTGCTAACAGAGTCAGTCTGCTGCTGCTGGTCTGTTTGGACGCTGCCAGGTGAAATCAGGCCGGGTCATATCAGCGTCGTCTCACCTGAACGTTCCTCCAGCCGTTCCTGGATGACTCTTGCTCCTACGCCGTGTCAGGTCTTAACACTCAAACCCTCCCTGTTTACAGCTTCCGTCTCTCCCCTTTGAATTTCTGTCTAATTACACCTGAAGCCCGCCTCAGATCTCGTCAGCGCTCGGTGACCTTCAGCCTCTTCCTCCTTGCTCATCTTCCCGTTCATGGCTACAGATAAAGGAGTCTCCTCCTCCAGGAATGGAAACAGAAGGACTCTTTGTTGACGTACTGCGCAACAAATGACGTGACGTTAAGTTGGCGTAGCAGGTCCCTGCAGAACCCCAGGGACAAGGGTTTCAGATTAGTCACGGTTAGAAACCTGTATGCATGGCATCCTCTTTGTCTCGTGCAGATGTGCCTGTCAAATAAGCAAGAAATGAAGAAATAAGTGACACTTTCATGGTCTGTAAAATGTCACTGCAGTTCAAAAGGGAGCTGGAATATGCAGAAAGTTAGGAAGTGATAAGCAAACGCCACGGGTCTTATCCAATCCACCGTTCTTGGAAATTTGGAACCGGTTCCCGATACCCAACCCCATCCACGCCGGCCTTCGCCACCGCGCTCCCCTGCTTCTGGACGTTGAGCCGTCCCGTCGCTCATCTCGGCCAGACTCTTCTCTGTTCTGGATCCAGTGGTGGACTGAGCTCCTCGCTGAAGTCAGGACAGCAGACATCAACCCCTCGCTAGTATTTCAGAAAAAGAACATCTTGTTCTGCAGCACTGAGCGTGCACTCCCAGTGTTTGGCTGCTATCTGGTTCTTGCTGCTACGTGCTTTGCAGTGTTGGGAGTAACGCAATTACAGGAACGTATTGCTTTTTGCAGTAACGCAGTAATATAAGGGCCGCTGTGCCGCTGTACCTCGTGCAGCTGTTAATCAGAGGGTAAATTTATGTGACCCGCCTGATCCACAGATATCACTCTGCACATCACTAGAAGCCACCTTACATCTTACTTATCAGAATAATGCACCGTTATACGGCAGTGAAAGTCTGTAAAGCATCACAATTCAGAGACAGTAAAATTGTAATGTGACTAATTACTCTCAAGTGACAGAAATAATCTTTAAGGTATTACATTTCATTTAACAATTTAAAATCCCATCATCTCCTGACCACAAGTTAATTATCTTGATACTTTGTCCTGATGAGAGAGACGTTTACTTTTGATAATGGGTCAATTATCTCAAGATATCCCGCCTACTGATGGTGGGATAGCACGTGGTTTATGGCACGTGGTTTATGGCACGTGGTTTATGGCGTGCGCCAGGCGGCTGTGTAAAAGTTGCTTCATCTTGAATCACAAAATTAGATTCCCACGACTAGTAAAACATAATTCAGCTAATCTGCACGTTCCATTTTCAAACCTGTTGTTGTCCCAGGTGAAGGTGTGGAGGCTGGACGGCGCTGAGCTCCTCAGCAGCAGTGACGAAGGCTCGGTGGTTCTGGGAGTTCTGGGAGAATCTGTAGTTTCTCTGTCTGATGCTGGCGTGGTCAGAATGTGTCATCCTGTTAACGGCACTCAAACCGTGGAGACTCAGCTGGAGTACTCGCGGAGACGACTGACTCTCGTGAACTGTGTGACTTCACCCAAACGTGGCAAAGTGTTCATGGTTTCTACAGACGGACTCCTCCGTCAGGTGCGAGTTTCATCCGTCTGTTTTTGGTTTTTAGTTATTTATTAGTTTGTTCATTCAGTCATCTTAAAACAGTAAGTGAGTGAAAAGGCTCAGGCTGTTACCAATCAAATCTACCCACCTGTAAAGGATATAAAGAAACAAAGACATTATTTATTCACCTTTACAAATAGCATTTTCCTGAACACATCTTGAAAAAGAGTTGCACATTTTATTACAACAACAGAAATACATCTTCCATTTAATCTCTTTGTTTGCTTTTTGAAAAGTAAACTTAAAAATACCTCTCAAATCATATTTACTTTCCTGTACTGAAAAAAGCTTTAGGACACAGTGTGGACGTGACTTTAAATTAGCCCTGAACATTATCTGCATTATTTTATAATAATACAAGTACTTTAATTTGATTTTGATTTGTGTGACCATAGTAACCAACTTTATTAATAATTTGTATTGCCTGTTTTTGCAGTAAGATTATTGAATTTAAAGTTCCATGCAGAAAGACATAGAAGGAAGAAAAAGTGAACAATAAATAATATGCAAAGCTTTATAATTCAATATATCTCTTGATTGTCTTTCATAGTTTTCCTTTTATATATTCAATATGCTCGTACCAATTTAGTTCATGATCGATCAATCAAAGACTCAAAGACATATTTTCAGTTTTATGTCCTTTATTACTTTCTGATTTCCCAAAAAACATAAATAAGTTTTTATATTGACAGACAATTAATTCACATCAAACCAGCTTAAAAAGAATTTCCACCTCACAGTATGTCTGTTGACCTTTAGTGCAAAAAGAAATAATAAACCTGCAGATGTTAGTTTTGTTTGGATAGTTTGGTCCATGGAAAGAAAATTTGCTTTTCTTGTGTCAGTTCCTTGAACGTCCGAAACTTTATATAATAAAAACTATAATGTTGTATGTTTGAAATAAGTAAATGAAAAAATCTGATTCAATTACTCACTTTAAAATTCAGTTTAATTAGTCCACCTGTGCAAAAGTTCCTCTGAATTAAAATGACTAAAAGTACAGATTCCATTTGCAAATATGAATAAATTTTATTTTCTATCTGTATATCTTAAGTTGAATATTTCTATATGTCTTGTGAGTTGAGTGACAGCACGGAGCTGAGGCGGCGTTCGTAGGTCACAGCTGATATGAACCAGCTGACCCAAGTACTCGTTATTAAACTTCTCTTACTGGTGATCAGAACTCATGATGAGATTTTCTTTCCTGTCTGCAGATTTCCAGGACGGGGAAACAGACAGCCGTCGAGTTTCCTCTGCTTCCTTCTTTGCTTTCAGTCACTGAAGATGAAAAAATACTGATAGCAGGTACGAACGTTTTAAATCATTTTAGTCCTCTGACCGTTGATTTCTTTCTTTTTCACACGTGTGAAAACCAAGCGCCAACTTCAAGGTCTGAAAAGTGAAGCCGGTGCTGAAACACCTTAAACCTGCGTTCTCTCTGCTGATGAGTTTCTGGTCTCAGTCGCTAGTTTCAAGTCTTCTTCAACACAGCATGATGTTCATTTAGTAAATTATGGTCCCATTGGATGATGATGGTGGTAATAATAATAATCCAAAGGCTGAAGATACTAGATACTAGTATAACTGGATAAGATGATAATAAAAATCAGATAGACAATGATCTTTATTTATAGATCACTGTTCATGTTACAAAATGCTTTCAAGTGCACAGACAATAAAACACAAAATAGTAGGTCGGTTAGTACAATTTGTTTTAAGCCTGTTTGTCGCTAGCCAAAATTAGCATCCCAGCTAATAGCACAGTCTACACAAGCAAATAACAGACCTTGTCCTGACGTGGTCACGTCCGGTTCCAAATAACCAAGATGGCGACGACCAAAACGCCAGACTCGAGGCATCAAAACGGTAGTCCACAGAACGGGTGACGTCACGGCGCCTACATTTACTTCTTTCTAAAGAATCTAAAAACAGTCTGTGGTTGAAGAGGTGGTATTCTGCTCATTTTCAGGTTCCTCATCTTATTTAGAGTTTGTACCAGAGCAGGTTTCCATGGTTATATTTCATACTGCACATTGCTGCAGCTCCTCTTCTCAGCCTGTGTTGAAGGCTTCGTTTTAGCTATGGAGTGATACATCTTGCCTCTAAATGATCTTTGTTGGGAGTTGCACATGCTCAGTTCCTAGTTAAGGACTACTAGCCAATCAGAAGCAGAGAAGGGCGGGTCAGCGAGAAGCCGGTAAACGGCTCGGGTTCAGCCGTACGTGTTGCCGACCGGCTCGGCAACACGTACTGGAGCGAGAGTTTCAGAGCGGTGAGTTATTAATCTGTATCCATAAAGTTTTAACTGAGCTCTGTCTCTACATCACAGGAACAACTTTGTCCACTGACTGCCTGGAGGGTAGCTGGTGTTTGGAAGGGAGAGGAGAGCTGTGTGCTGCAGCTCGCTGTTTCTGAGGGCGTGTCGGAGTCGCCGCTAGGCGAGCGTTAGATGAGGCGCGTTTAGCTTTCATCCCTGTGACGTCACAGGGATGAAAGGGAAGCGGCTGGACTACAAACGAGCTGTTTTCAGTTCAGAGCAGAGTTTTCTGTGGGAGATGGGAACTCACTTTGGGCTTTTTCACTTTGCAAACCTGTTACAGCACTAAAAAGATTTATAAATGAGAGGGAAAAAAGCCAAAAAGCAGAATACCACCTCTTTAAGTTAAATATCACCTGTTTTTCGACCTGACATACGTACCACTTCAAAGGTAAATAGATAAATGAAAATGAACAGCTCCCGTTGCACCGACTTTGGTTCCTACTTTTTCTCAAACAGCTGTGGCTGCAAAGAGGAAAACCACTACCCATAAACATTAAAAATCTCTGGCAAGTGCATTTAATTGGTGTTAATGAGAAATTATACAGGCAAATGACTGAATGCAGTATTAAGCTTTTATTCATGTTTTAACAGCTCAGTTTTCACCATTTAAGCGTTTTTTCAGACAAGCAGCAGCAAAAGTTTGACTCTCTCTCTCTCTGTGTTTCCGTCCTCTGCAGGCAGCGATCGGACTCTGAGCCTCTTTAACATCTCCAGAGACGAGGTGGACGGATTCCTCAACCTCCAACATGACGACAGCGTTTTGTCAGCCTGCGTCTCATCAGACCGCCGGCTGCTCGTCTCCGGAGCTGCCGACCAACTCGTACGAGTAAGAGACCAAGTTGTATTCATTTAATTCAGCGTTTCTCCTTCTGTGTGTATAAATATCTAAAAGTAAGTCAAAATGTATTTCTATCATTTTCTATCAGTGCTCGGTGGCCAAATTAACGTCTTGATATATATTTTATTACATGAAATAAATATAAAATTATATTGAGGGCCCCACGGTTCCCTCGCAGCAGTAAAGGGCCCTGCAGGAGCTTCTTTCTGGCTTCCCTTAGTCAGATTCCCTGCAGCTGAAACGCTTTTACTGAAGATTAACTCTGTTCTCATGAAAGTTTTTAATGTCATGTTTTTTTCAAAATACTGCAGAAAAGGCTTCAAACAGCTCAAGCTTCATGAATCTCAATGCAAACTAAAACATACAAAATGGCGTGAGACGAATCAGCATCTCTGACCAGAACCAGAACTCCACAGTATTTATGCGTTACGAACTTTCTTTGTCAGATCTGGTCGGTGACCACCGGTACGTTGTTGGACGCTCTGTGTGGTTCGTACGCTCCCGTCACCGCAGTCCTTCTGTACAACGGCTCTGTGGTTTCAGCCTCGTCGGCCGCCGCCGACATCCATCGGTGGAGTCTGAAATACGACACCCGCCACAAACCCACCGGCCACATCCCCGCGGGCTGCGCCCACGTCGCCATCACTACAGACGGAGATCGGGTTTTCTACGTCCGAGAGCAGAGCCAGACCGAGGTCATCAGCTGGAACAGCAACACAGGTCAGCGCAGAGAACAACCAGATCATCAGTGCTTTTTGCTCGTGGTTACGGATATTTACCTCCACAAGCTCGCCTAGTTTGGTAATCGCGTTCATCCAAGTCACAAATGGAAGCGAATGTGTGTCGTGTTTTAAACAGCACCGTCAGCAGGTGGAGATACCTGCTGGTGTGGCTCTGAAACCTCCTCCTGGATCTCCCTGCAGGTTCTCCATTGGAGCATTTGGCGGTCTCCGCTGAGGTTTGCTGTCTGGAGTTAGCTCAGCGCAAACGCTTGCTGCTCTGCGGTCTGACCAGCGGCACCGTCCTCATCTACCCGATGGCCCTTCCCCAGGAGACGCTCTGCATCCCCCCTCCGGAGAGCCTCTCCAGGGTGCTCTGCCTGGCCGTCGGCTCCCAGGAGAAGCACCTGGCGGTGGCCTACGAGGACTCGTTGTGTCTGTTTGAGATCACCAACAGAGACGGCTTCCCCACAGTGGAGGGACCCCTGGAGAGGTTCCCGCTGTCCCTCCTCCACTCCCCGCTGTCCTCCATGGCGCTGCTGTCCAAACGCCGGCTGCTGTACGGGACGATCTGCGGGGAGGTGAAGCTCCACGACTTCAGCCGGGGCAGCAGCTCCGATCTGGAGCCTCATCGCAGCAGAGTGACCTGTGTGACGGCAGGTAACTGGGGGGACCACGCCCTGGTGGGCTCTGAGGACGCCGTACAGAGGCTGTGGGGCCTGAACCCGCTGGTCCTGGACCACACCATGGAATACAAGGTCATTACTTTTACTCTCCAACCAACAACATGGACAGTAACACAAAGACAGAGACACATCAGCAAGCTTGTATTTTAAATGCTGATCATTTATTAGCAGTAATATTAACATATAATAAATAATATAATGTAAGCTGATGTCAGGCTATTTTAGGTCTTTAATAATTATTATTATTATTACGTACAGCAATCCTCAGTCTGAGTTTTTTCTGCTGATGTTCAGGGGTTTTTCTTCGAGGGCGTCCTCTCTGCTGCTTTCTCTGAGAGCGACCAGTTCGTCTTCACAGGATCTCAGGACAGAAGCATCAACGTCTGGGACGTCGCTACAGGTACGTACCGGTGCGGTCCAAGAGGTCTCCTCCAGTCACCCGTGGCCGCCACTAAAACTGTGGCCAGAACACCTCAAACTGCAAACTTTAAGTCAATTATGACTCTTTGTATTTTGAATGTTTGATCCACGGAGGTTTTTGTATTTGTAAAACTTTCCTCAATTTTAAAATCCATAACTTCATCACAATGTGAAGTCTCTGGGCCGAGCGGGAACTCGCGGGCCAAATACTTCTGTGCCACAAACCCCAGAAGTAAACTACTAAATTCTGATTGGACTGAACCGTCACTCTATCTTCCCGTCAGGAAACCTGCTGTATGTTCAGTACGTCGACTCGCCCGTCGTCAGGATGGTGACCTTCAGGAACGGCTTTGTGGGCTTGTCTCAGCAGGGCTCCGTCATCAGAGAGGTGTTTCGCTGTCCGGACCACATCAGTCCGGACCACAACCCATTGAGAAACGTCAAGGCCCAGTACCGGGTCACCTCCAGGGAGAAGAACCGGGACGGCCAGCAGGCCCCCGGGTCCGACCTCCAGGACTTCAACCCGGCCCAGCTCAATCTGAACCTCATGAGCACGTTAAGAGCCAAACCCTCCTCCACCTGTCTCATACTGTAGGACACCGGGTCCCTAACTGGGGCCCCAGGACCTCCAGGGGCCTCTAGGTTTTAGGGTGTTTCAAAAGAAAATGAGAAAAAAATGTATTTTCATAGTTAAATTTAATTGTGAGCAGGGTAAATGTACATATGGCTCTATAATGTAAAAATAACATTTTCATTAGAACGTCCTCATATTTTTACCAAAATATGGCTCAATTCTTTCTTCTGCTTGTTGATGCACCTGATTCAGCCATATTTTGCCAAAAAATGTGAATGAAGTAAAATCGTTCGGGTGGACAGAGGGCTGGTTCATCATGCTGCAGAGGTGGTTGGACGAACTGACCACAGCTGCTGTCCTCAGAAGACACAAGACGCCCCTCTCCCGACTCCAGGGGGTGAGTTTTTCATTATTTTCAGTGGAATATTCCTTTAACAGGCCTGTGAGTGACAAAAAGGAAAATAAACACTGTCGGTGTAGAATATTTGATGCCTAAGTCCCTCCCCTTCCGCTGGACCACCACGGGACCTTTGGAAAAAATTACACACATGATGTTTGTCAATTTAAAATCTACATTTGAAAGTCGCAGTTTGATGTAAAACTGTTGAGGTATAAGACTGTGAAAATACATAATTACACAGGCCGCAAATACGTGACGTCGTAACAGTTTCTCTCAATGACTGAAGCTAACGTCAAAGAACTTCCATGAGAGGATGATGTGATAAAAGGACAGAGAGTCGTTGGATTAAACACAACAGGCGAGATATATTTCTGCGTGGAACACAGCTGAGTTATCTTATTAGCAGCAATGAACGTTAGCTAGCATTACCATGTTTATTGTTTTTGACGTATATTGTGCGAGACGAGAGATGTAGTTCATTGAACGGGTTTCACACAAAAAGACACGCAACTTTACTGTTTTACGACAAACTGCGGCTTTCTTGACGGACAAAATCATACTTTAAATTGACAAACGTGTGTGATTCAGGGCTCAGTTCAAACCGGATCAAAAAAATACCGAACTTTCCAAAATAACGTCCCACGGGCCGGAAGCGGAAGCGAGTGACTTCAGGCTCTGTTTCGACTAAAAACTGAATATTCACATAGTTTTAGATTCTTATCATTATAATGTTTCCATGGCAACCTGGCAGAGGCTCTATCCACAACCTGGAGGAGTGTAACATTAAATAAAAAGCATGAGATTCATTTAATAGTATAATATAATGTTACTAATTTCATATAATAGTGAACTCTATAGGTTAGCACTAGTTGAATATTTAATACAGCAGTTTCACCTTTGTGGGTTGTTTTTATTCATTAAATCCTTGTGCAAGAAAAATGCTTTACATTGGTTTGTAATTATAAAAGTGCTAACTCGTCAATCATATCAAATCATAAATCTTATCTATTGTTATGCCAGGGAAATGTTCTCACTGTACAGCCCTGATTAATAATACCTTCTCTGTATGAAAAGTGCAATTAGATAACTTCTGTTATGAATTGCCACACACACACACATATATATGTGTGTGTGTGTGTGTGGCAATTCATAAGTAAGCACATCGTGAGAAGGGAAATTTCCAGAGTCAAATTCCTCGTATGCGTACCTGGCAAATAAAGATGATTCGATGAAGATAAATCAATAAAAGATAAATGTTTTTATATAACATTAGGTAGGAATTTATGGGGATTTTGCATGCAAAGATAATTAAGGACAGCCTGATTACCAATTAATTAATTATTTGATAGATTAGTTGATGATTATAGATAAAGATAATCATATTAAGCTGCTTTTTTCTTGTATATAGAGTTTTTAAGTCTCCCTGTCTGTGAAAATGAGTCAAACTTATAGACGTAAACAAATCTCCAGTCCAGTCCTCCTCAGTCTCGCTGCCTTGTTAACATAAGCGGGGCCTTAAAGTGGAAGAGGTTTGTAAGGCAACACTTTGGTCCAGCTGAAAGAAAACAGAAACATGATTGGGCCATAAACTCAGAGAGCAGATAAAAGCTTTTCCTGTGAAACAGAGTTTGAAATGTGAGTTTGAGTTAAATATTAACAGAAGTGCACCGACCTGCTGCTTCACCTGAGCTGCTCGTCTGCTGTTAGTTTCAACTCCACCTCCGAAGCTTCAGCTTTAAACTTGTGCGAAGTTTTTTAACGTCTGTTTATTTTTTCTTCAGTCAGAGCGGAGAACCAGCGATGGCCAAACTTTGTGCAGTGATTTCCAGTTTGTTGCTGACAGTCGGAGTCGTGGCGGCCCAGACAGGTACGAGCTGTGCCGACAGTAACTATAAATACACGGTTATACTACTGTTCAAATATTTATCCGATGAACAACATTACTGAGTGTTTTAGAGCTGCAACTACAGATATTTTCTCTATCAATCAATCTGTGTATTATTTTCTAGATTAAATGAGTAATTGTTTAGTCCATTAAATTGAATATAGTATAATTATAATATGTTCAATCAACAGTCCAAAAACAATCTTGCCACAAAGAAAAACATGAAATCCGCTCATTTGAGAAGCTAAAACCAGCGATTGTATCAAGAAAAATGTATAAAACAATTGCCAGTGAATAAATCTGCAAGGATCAACTCATAGTTTCTGTTCTAGAATGTTTTGATTATTGATTAATCAAAATTTAAAAGCTTAGTAAGTTTCCAGTTTTGTTGTAGTTTGAAGACATCAGTAAATTCTTTTTTAACTTATTTTGGATTAATTAAAAAAGTAAGTGATAATAAAGATAATTCGTGTACAAGGTGTAGCTTTTCTTTCCTGCTAGTATCATTATATTGGAGGTCATATAATGGATGCACACCTATAAACTGTGTTGCAATTCTCCCTCACTCAACATCTACTAAAGTACTGTACTGAATTTGATATTCCCGTACTTAAAATGAGTAATACTATTTCATGCTACTTCTATTTCACTACATTTCAAGGGGGGATTTAAGCACTTTTTACTTTACTAAATATATTTGACCTTGATTATTCCACAATTACAGGATAAGAAATACCTTATTGATCCCCAGATTCTTGTGTCACAATTGCACATCAGGGCATTAAGGAATAGAAATAATTATGTAAGTAAAGAAAATACCATGAAAGTATCTAAGAATTTTCTCCTCACATCAAATCTTATCTTAATAATGAGCACGCAAGAAAACAGCTGTTCGCTCCTGTTAATATCATTATTTGGGTCATATGTTTCAAACTTTGGACAAAAGTGGTGAAAATATGAACATACGTAAGTTTGGGGTACTTTTAAGTAAATATTGTACTGCACTACATTTATCTATCTATTTACAAATGTATACCTTTACTTTATTGCTAAGTTGTCTGTGAAAACCCTCATTTAGAGATCCCTTAATTTAAAAGGCAAAACAAAATTTTAAAAGCCCATAATTAAGTAGATTTTAAGGTGTACATGAATTCTGTCAATGATCAGGTGTTATTAAGGTTAAAGGATTTTAGTTTATGACAGGGCTCTGAAATATTTTAAGCTGCAAATCTATGATATTTTGAGGGTTTCATATGTTTAACATATCCATTAAGGGGTTTTAATGGATTATCTGCACAATTTAAAAGGTGTGTAATAATGTGTAAAAGTTAACAGGAATGTTGAGGTTAGTTGATTTATTTTAGCAGCTACAAGAGTTAAATTTGTGTTAGTTGATGATTTATTTTGCAGCTATTTTAGCAACATTTTGATTAGAATATATTGACCAATTATTATCCAATAGATCCATTAGCTCAAACAGTGTAGATTAGGCTATCTTACAGTATCAGTATAGCTGAAATAAATAATTTTACTGCTTGAAAAAATATGCCAGACTTTTAAGTTTATTGTATTTTTTTTTTAAATGGAAAACAGTTTCTGGAGGTTCGCGCTGAGCTTGGATGACCTCTGACCTCTCTGTGTGCTTGTGTTGCAGATCAGACTCAGATCAGCGAGCGTCTGCTGCCTCAGTGGCTCACTGGCATCATCGCCGTCTCCATCTTCCTCTTCCTCAGCTTCGTCGTCTTCCTGGTGAAGAAGGCCTGGTGTGAGGAGCCCAGCAGGTCCGTCGTCTGTTTAATTTAACTCATTTTGACCAACAGGAACATTTATGTGGGAAGACTATCGACAGACAAGTAAACAGAAATCACCTCTCAACACAAGAGACAATACTTCTAATCCAAGAATATCTTAAACTTCACTACATTTATCGAGACAAATTTGGGTTTTAGTTTGTTGGTTGGACATTTGAATCCGAGAAACAAATATTTTTTTTATTATTTTCAGACAAAACAATAGTCAGCAGAGTAATTGATAATTACAGTGATCAGTAACCTGAGGAGGAAAATGCTGAAAAATCCCTAATTGTGACTTTATAAACTTACTTCTTGGAGTCCGGTCTAAATGTTGGACAAGAGGTTAAAGTAAAAACTAATACAACTGATAAATCTGCTCTTAAAATCTTAATTCTGATTTTATAGACATAATCACTTTTCATAGAGACAATAGATTTAAAGAAACTAATGTTTAATACTGTGGTCTACTTATATAATGCATCTGTCTGCAGGAGGAAGGTCAGTGTGGTGTCCGACAAAGATAATGACTACGCTATGACCATCGAAAACGCCTACGAGACCAACGAAAACGCCTACGAGACCTCCCTGGATATGGTCAGGTACGACCAACAACAACTAATTACTTTACCTTATTCCTGCCATTGTGACTGAGGGGACTCTGTACTGCAAACAATTAGAATTTGAATGCAAGTAAATGAAAAAGCTAAATCATTGCCAGACAATGGCCGCTGGTCAGAGATTGCGTTCTGGCTGTCTTGCTCTCTACACAGACTTTTTACCCAAACTAAACTCTTTTAGCTGCTAAAACAAACCATTAGCTAACCTTAATTTAACTCCTAAAGTAAACAGTTAACTAACCCAAACTAAACTCTGTTAGCTGCTAAACTAAACAGTTAACTAACCCAAACTAAACTCTGTTAGCTGCTAAAACAAACCATTAGCTAACCTTAATTTAACTCCTAAAGTAAACAGTTAACTAAACTCTTTTAGCTGCTAAAACAAACCATTAGCTAACCTTAATTTAACTCCTAAAGTAAACTCTTTTAGCTGCTAAAACAAACCATTAGCTAACCTTAATTTAACTCCTAAAGTAAACAGTTAACTAAACTCTTTTAGCTGCTAAAACAAACCATTAGCTAACCTTAATTTAACTCCTAAAGTAAACAGTTAACTAAACTCTTTTAGCTGCTAAAACAAACCATTAGCTAACCTTAATTTAACTCCTAAAGTAAACAGTTAACTAACCCAAACTAAACTCTTTTAGCTGCTAAAACAAACCATTAGCTAACCTTAATTTCACTCCTAAAGTAAACAGTTAACTAACCCAAACTAAACTCTTTTAGCTGCTAAAACAAACCATTAGCTAACCTTAATTTAACTCCTAAAGTAAACAGTTAACTAACCCAAACTAAACTCTTTTAGCTGCTAAAGTAAACAGTTAACTAAACTCTTTTAGCTGCTAAAACAAACCATTAGCTAACCTTAATTTAACTCCTAAAGTAAACAGTTAACTAACCCAAACTAAACTCTGTTAGCTGCTAAACTAAACAGTTAACTAAACTCTTTTAGCTGCTAAAACAAACCATTAGCTAACCTTAATTTAACTCCTAAAGTAAACAGTTAACTAAACTCTTTTAGCTGCTAAAACAAACCATTAGCTAACCTTAATTTAACTCCTAAAGTAAACAGTTAACTAACCCAAACTAAACTCTTTTAGCTGCTAAAACAAACCATTAGCTAACCTTAATTTAACTCCTAAAGTAAACAGTTAACTAACCCAAACTAAACTCTTTTAGCTGCTAAAACAAACCATTAGCTAACCTTAATTTAACTCCTAAAGTAAACAGTTAACTAACCCAAACTAAACTCTTTTAGCTGCTAAAGTAAACAGTTAACTAAACTCTTTTAGCTGCTAAAACAAACCATTAGCTAACCTTAATTTAACTCCTAAAGTAAACAGTTAACTAACCCAAACTAAACTCTGTTAGCTGCTAAACTAAACAGTTAACTAAACTCTTTTAGCTGCTAAAACAAACCATTAGCTAACCTTAATTTAACTCCTAAAGTAAACAGTTAACTAAACTCTTTTAGCTGCTAAAACAAACCATTAGCTAACCTTAATTTAACTCCTAAAGTAAACAGTTAACTAAACTCTTTTAGCTGCTAAAACAAACCATTAGCTAACCTTAATTTAACTCCTAAAGTAAACAGTTAACTAAACTCTTTTAGCTGCTAAAACAAACCATTAGCTAACCTTAATTTAACTCCTAAAGTAAACAGTTAACTAACCCAAACTAAACTCTTTTAGCTGCTAAAACAAACCATTAGCTAACCTTAATTTAACTCCTAAAGTAAACAGTTAACTAACCCAAACTAAACTCTTTTAGCTGCTAAAACAAACCATTAGCTAACCTTAATTTAACTCCTAAAGTAAACAGTTAACTAAACTCTTTTAGCTGCTAAAACAAACCATTAGCTAACCTTAATTTAACTCCTAAAGTAAACAGTTAACTAAACTCTTTTAGCTGCTAAAACAAACCATTAGCTAACCTTAATTTAACTCCTAAAGTAAACAGTTAACTAAACTCTTTTAGCTGCTAAAACAAACCATTAACTAACCTTAATTTAACTCCTAAAGTAAACAGTTAACTAAACTCTTTTAGCTGCTAAAACAAACCATTAGCTAACCTTAATTTAACTCCTAAAGTAAACAGTTAACTAACCCAAACTAAACTCTTTTAGCTGCTAAAGTAAACAGTTAACTAAACTCTTTTAGCTGCTAAAACAAACCATTAGCTAACCTTAATTTAACTCCTAAAGTAAACAGTTAACTAAACTCTTTTAGCTGCTAAAACAAACCATTAGCTAACCTTAATTTAACTCCTAAAGTAAACAGTTAACTAAACTCTTTTAGCTGCTAAAACAAACCATTAGCTAACCTTAATTTAACTCCTAAAGTAAACAGTTAACTAACCCAAACTAAACTCTTTTAGCTGCTAAAGTAAACAGTTAACTAAACTCTTTTAGCTGCTAAAACAAACCATTAGCTAACCTTAATTTAACTCCTAAAGTAAACAGTTAACTAAACTCTTTTAGCTGCTAAAACAAACCATTAGCTAACCTTAATTTAACTCCTAAAGTAAACAGTTAACTAACCCAAACTAAACTCTTTTAGCTGCTAAAACAAACCATTAGCTAACCTTAATTTAACTCCTAAAGTAAACAGTTAACTAACCCAAACTAAACTCTTTTAGCTGCTAAAGTAAACAGTTAACTAAACTCTTTTAGCTGCTAAAACAAACCATTAGCTAACCTTAATTTAACTCCTAAAGTAAACAGTTAACTAAACTCTTTTAGCTGCTAAACAAACCATTAGCTAACCTTAATTTAACTCCTAAAGTAAACAGTTAACTAAACTCTTTTAGCTGCTAAAACAAACCATTAGCTAACCTTAATTTAACTCCTAAAGTAAACAGTTAACTAACCCAAACTAAACTCTTTTAGCTGCTAAAACAAACCATTAGCTAACCTTAATTTAACTCCTAAAGTAAACAGTTAACTAACCCAAACTAAACTCTTTTAGCTGCTAAAACAAACCATTAGCTAACCTTAATTTAACTCCTAAAGTAAACAGTTAACTAACCCAAACTAAACTCTTTTAGCTGCTAAATCATCAGCTAACCCAAACTTAACTCTTTTAACACAAAACTAAAGCTGCAGGTCCTGCAGGTTTATTAGATAACCGGAGAATAAAAACTTAAAAGAGAAATAATTTATTCCTTTGCTCTCAAATAAAGTTATTTGTAATTATGGAGTCAGGGTAAAATATTGAGATAAAACTTTTTAGAGATTAAAGTGGTAAACTAATGAGATGAAGAGTTGTCTGCAGTTCTTTCCCAATTCAAGTTGTTAATCACAAAGGAGGAAAATACTATTTTACAGATGGACTTATTACAGGCTCCTAACTAAAGCAGGTTATACAGATGTTAATTAAAGTGCCACCTTTTTCTTCTATGTTTGCACCGTCACTGTTTTTTCTCTCGTAAATTTACCACTTTAATATCAATGAATATCCAGACACTTTTTTCCCCCCTAATATGCTGTCATAGTTTACGGTCTCCATCTCTACAGGACAAAAATTAAACGATCATTATTTGTGTTTGTTTGTGGACCAGGAGCAAAGAAAACACGAACGCCTACAACAACCTGGTGATTGACAGCACTGATGACAAAGTTACCTCCATGTGACTTTCCTGCATTGATTCTATTGGCTGTCTGAGCGTTATCTTCACCAACTCTGGACGGAGAGACACAAAACACAGAAAATTATTTTTAGAGAAACACGTACATTTTACAGATGTTTTTAAAATGTGTCTTTGTTTCGTCGTACCTTTTGTCTCTTTATTAATTAATAATTAATTTACTTACACACTTCTGTGACCGTTTTCATTTTATCTTCAAATGCAGCAAGATTACATGAATTATCAATATATTAGTTGTTGTTTTTCAGACTGTTTGAATGGTCTACAGTTGCCTCTTGATGCAGAGATTCAGAGCAGTAAACAAGAGGAAAAGCAGCCGTCGCCTGTGATCTTTGTGCTCATTAATAAGTTATCTTTTCTAACAAACTGCTGTGTCGGCTCTCATTACTGATCAATGAAGGAATGACCTGTGATTAATAATTAAACACTCAGCAGTAAAGTCTCATTATACAGTGCCTGCAATAACAGCAGCGAGAGGGTGTTTGGATAAGTGCTGGCGCTGCCACACACATGTAGTCATTTTTTCCCCTGTGTGCGAAGTAATTGTTTGATTTTATTACAGCAGCTGCTTTAGTGGAGCATTATGGAAAATTAACTCCAGGAACATGCTTAAGCTTTTCAGAAAGTCAGTTTGTGCAGAGCCTAAGCCCCTCCCCTTCCATTGGACCACTATGGACCTTATTTTGGAAAAAATAAGTTCAGTAGTCAACAGCGAGAGACAACAAATGTTTTGATCCCTTTTGAATTGTACCCTGAATTACACACATTAGTCAGTTTAAAAAAAATGTCTAAAAAGTTGTGTATGTGACGCATGTGGGAACCTCCGTGTCTGAAAAGTGAAGCCAGTACTTAAGTAACTTAAACCTGCGTCCTCTCCAGCAGCCAGCAGGGGGCGACTCCAGCGGCTGCAGAAAGAAAATGTTTCTACTTGTCAGCTGATTTATTCCCTCAGTAAACACTTCCTGATGAGTTTCTGGTCTCAGTCGCTAGTTTCAAGTCTTCTTCAACACAGCATGATGTTCATTTAGTAAATTATGGTCCCATTTAGAGGAACAGAGACCAGGAAGCAGGGGAGGCTTTAGGGCGGGGCTACAAGCTGATTGACAGGTTGCTACCATGGCGACCTGTCAATCAGGATAGAGGCGACTCATATCCGCTGCTCTGTGTACATTTAACCAGCTCTGCTGAAAGTGAGTACGTTTTGTTTGAAGGTTGTTTGTCGCTAGCTAAAATTAGCATCCCAGCTAATATCACAGTTAATGTGAATTACAGATGCACCTTGCTAACCAAGCTAGCTAGCTCCACCCTCTCGACCAAATATGGTCACGTCTGGTTCCAAAAAACAAGATGGTGACGGCCAAAATGACAAACAGAACAGCGGCCCACAAACCAACAGGGGACGTCACAGTGACTACGTCCTATGTGATGTCATAACTTTATGTCTTAGTTACTGACACTAACACCTGTCACAATGTAACGCCATCACGCCCAGGATGTTAACATACAAGCAACGTGGCCGGGCTTATATTGATTTTCACCTCTAATATTTTTCCCCTCATTCTGGAAAAAAGAGTTGACTGTATCAAAAACTTAGTTGTCGCTTGCCGTTGACTCACGTACATATTTTAGAAATAAGGTCCCATGTGGCAAAGGGCTCCATTAGGCTCTATTGAAGTGAATGAGAAACTCTAACTTATCACTACAAACACACACTCAAGCTTCCCCCCCCCCAAACGCGATCACTGGAAAACGAGTGTCTGTAAAAAGGCAAATATATTTTTACCTCCCGAATTGACTCAGGCAGCTGGCTCAGACGAAGGAAACGTGGAAAACTGGTTAGTTCACCTTGCATGTAGTATCAGCCCCTTAGAAACCTGAAGGCCACCCATCCAACAAAGGTTCTGGAACTGAAGAAGTCTCTTGAATGAGGGACGAAACGTCTTCTAGTATCTTCTACCATGACCTGGATGACTGAGAACCTTCACAGATTTCTTACTGGGCCACCGGTTGTTCCTCTGGATCGGGTCTGATGAGGAAAACATAAAACAAACAGATTTTAAAGTTCAGGAAGACTCCAGAAAGGCAGATGGTGCCGTCTCTACATTTTAATAAAACACAGATCAGTTAGCAACAGATGATTAATAATCAGAACAGACAGAAAAAACATTCACAACACATTTTCACAGCTCGTTCAACACCCAATCAGAGAGCCTCTTTTGGATCAATGCGTCTGAAATGGAGTGAAGCTCCTCTGTTTGGGGAAAGTCGACAAATCAGTTGGTCTCGACAATAAAAACCTGGTTCAACATGTGAAATACAACCTACAGTTACAGCTTGATGTTAAAACAAAGAAAGAAGTCTGTAAAACCCCCCAAATGCTGCTCACCATAAAGTCATTAGCTCTAGTCTGAGCTTTAGGTTGGGGTCTATTTTCTTAATGTTAAAGATAAAACTGTAAAAGTTACTGTTTTTGGAGCCAGGGAGGTCAGTGCTCAGCTTCAATCTGTAATGTTAAAGAGGTCTGCTCATTTTCAGGTTCAAAATCTTAATTAGGGGTTGTACCAGAACAGGTTTACATGGTTTAATTTTTAAAAAACACCATATTTTTTTCTCATCCTGCACATTGCTGCAGCTCCTCTTCTCACCCTGTGTGTTGGACGCTCCGCTCTTGAGCTACAGAGTGATGCATCTTGTACAAAATCTTTGTTGGGAGTTGCACATGCGCAGTTCCCAGGTAAGGACTACTAGCCAATCAGAAGCAGAGAAGGGCGGGTCGTAAGAAACAAGGTAGTGTGATCCAAATCAAAGCCGCTTCAGACCGTAACCTAGCAGATGGTAGAAGTTACTCTCAAGTCCACAACATCATTGTTCCACATCTTACAATAACCCACTACAAAAATCACCATATTTCAACTCTATTTTACATAAAAATTGGCCAAACGTTTGCTCCGTAGCTTTCACATCAGGTGTAACATCATAGCTTAACTTTAGCTGTGTTAGCCAACGTTTACAACAACTCCGCTCTTGAACAGCCTGAAGTTACATTGCCGTGTTTATTTTAAATATAATTCCCAACCAATAAAGCAAACTTACAGGTTGTGTTTGTGAATTTCCAGAGTTGCATCGTCTTTTAGGACTAAAACGTTGAACTGTTGCCGGTGTTCTGACGATCTCTGCTGCCTTGCCGAAAAATGCGACCATAGCGCAAATCGATAGACTCGACTCTACTCTACCTGCTCCGTTTTCCACTGCAGACAGTACCCAGAGATAGTACGCAGCCTGACGTCATAGCGACGCCACACAACGGCCATGACGTAATGTTCAATGCGACACACACACCAGCGATCCACACAGCTTTCTCTTTTTTAAGAGAAAGCTTCCTCAGAATGTAAAGACAGATAAGCGGTATGAAAAGCTTCCAGCTGTGTTTTCCTCTGCCGTTGTTGCTGCAGCGGTCTGTGTGACGGCGGGAGCAGAGGGCTCTGTGAGCGGCCGGCTGGCCTCACACGCTCCTCCCGCGGGTCACAGCAGGCTTCCCCCGCCGCCACAACTACAAAAATATTCAAGCACATTTTTGTTCCGCCATCACTTCTCGTGAAACTGTCAGTATTGTAAATCTACACAGCTGATTTCACCTCAAAACTTCTCAGAAGTGGATTTAATGATGAAATAATGTATGAAAACTAAAATATAAAACTTCCTGTTGCCTCTGTCTGGTGCAATGATGATGCAGTGAAAAGTGATGATTCTCTCTGACCAATAGTTTCCCTCAGCTCGCTCGGAACCTCGACAGAGGGGATATGAAAAAAAGTACCTGGAAGCAGGAACAACATTTCTACAATGGAAAACCAAACAAAGGCGAGTGGAGCCAAAGGGCCTCCGCTCAGACTAGCTTGGTTTGAGGGCGTGTCTGACCCCGCTAGCCGCTTGGCGAGCTTTATGACGCGTTTTCATTGTGACGTCACAAGTAAAGGAAGTGAAGGGCTGGACAACAAACCAGCTGTTTTCAGTTCAGAGCCGAGTTTTCTGTGGGAGATGGGAACTCACTTTGGGCTTTTTCACTTTGCAAACCTGTTACAGCACAAAAAAGAGAAAAAACTCAAAAAAGGAGAGGGGAAAAGCTAAATAGCAGAATACCACCTCTTTAAGAACCACAAATCAAGCCAGAAATCTTTGTGTAGTCATGGACTCAGACCTGAATTTGAGGAGCCACATTAAGACAATTACAAAGTCAGCATACTATCAGCTGAAGAATATATCAAGGATTAAAGGACTCAGCAGGACCTGGAAAAACTTATCCATGCATTTATCTTCAGTGGACTCGACTACTGTAACAGTGTCCTTACAGGCTCCCTAAGAAATCCATCAGACAGCTGCAGCTGCTTCAGAACGCTGCTGCTCGAGTCCTCACTAAGACCAAAAGGTGGATCACATCACTCCAGTTCTGAGGTCTTTACATTGGCTTCCTGTATGTCAAAGAATTGATTTCAAAATCCTGCTGTTAGTTTATAAAGCACTAAATGGTTTAGGGCCAAAATAAATTTCTGATCTTCTGCTTCGTTACGAACCATCCAGACCTCTCAGGTCGTCTGGGGCAGGTCTGCTTTCTGTCCCCAGAGTCAAAACTAAACACGGAGAAGCAGCGTTCAGTTATTATGATCCGTATACAGTCAGGTCCATAAATATTGAGACATCGACGCAATTCTAATCTTTTTGGCTCTATACACCACCACAATGGATTTTAAATGAAACGAACAAGATGTGCTTTAACTGCAGACTTGGCCAGGTGTGTGTTATTCCCTCATTATCCCATTTACAAGGAGCAGATAAAAGGTCTAGAGTTCATTTCAAGTGTGCTATTTTCTATTTATTTGCTATTTGCTATTTATCAGTGAAGCAAGACTGAAAAATCAAAACAAACCCAGCAGAGAGATAGCAAAAACATTAGGTGTGGCCAAATCAACTGTGAGCTCAGCAACACCAAAAGACCCGGAAGACCACAGAAAAAACTGTGGTGGATGACCGAATAATTAAAATAATATAATAATAATAATAATAATAATAAAAAGATTAGAATTGTGTCGATGTCCCAATATTTATGGACCTGACTGTATCTGGAACAAACTCCCAGATAACTGCAGGTCTGGTGAAACTCTTCTTTTAAATCAAGACTGAAGACTTTGCTTTTTACTGCTGCTTTTAATTAAATTAAACCTTTCACTGCACTGTAACGTCCGGTTTTCATTGTCTTTGTTTTCAGATATTCAGTGCCCTGCACTGTAGATTTTACTGTCCTATTTTACCCTGTTTTTAAAATGTGTAGTTTTATTTTTTCAATTTCCCTTTGTTGTTTTTATGTTTAATGTAAAGCACTTTGAATTGCCTTGTTGATGAAATGTGCTATACAAATAAACTTGCTTTGCCTTACAGAGTGAGTCAACGAGAATCGGGGGACATCCCGCAGGTAGCAACAGACGAAAGAGCACAGGGAAGACCAGGAGGCCGCCGTACAGATGTCATCCACTGTGCAACGCCACTCGTGGAGTGCGCCCTGATGGCGTCCAGGGGACACACAGGCCTGTGGGATAGCCTCGCACAGACAGTGATACAGGTGCTGCGAACAGGCGCTGTGAAGGCGCCAGGTGGCCGTGCGCGCTACATAGCAGAAAAGCGTGCGCACCGGGCGGAGGAGGTGAGATGTAGCTTCATCCTCAGACCCATGGGGGGGAGGAAAGAAGCCGGGAGGGTAATCACCTGTGATCAGAAGGAGCTGGTGATGCTCTGAGGCGTGAAAGCAGTATTAGGACAGCAGAGCTGCCGTCACCCTGGATCAGGAGACACGGCGGAGCCACAGAGAGGGCAGCCAGATCGCTGACCCTCTTGGCCGACGTCAGAGCCACGAGTAGAGTGACCTTAGTCGAAAGGAACCGCAGAGCCGCTGTATCCAAGGGCTCGAAAGGCGCTTGGGTCAGGACCCGTAAAACTGCACCTCCTTCAGGAAACGCTTCACCAGCAGGTGAGTGAACACCGTCCTGTCACCGAACCGTACTGAAGGCCAGACCTCTGTCCGTGAGCAGAAGGTCAGGAGGGTCGCGCTCGCGGCGGGGGAAGAAGGATCGTGGGTACTGTCATGCGTAGCCAGCCACCGAAAGGATTATCTAAAGTCACAAACGAAGTCATCTTAACCCTCTCCCTTTTTTCCACGTTGCCTTTTGACCCTGCCATTGTATCATCAACATCATTCATTAATTTAGTCACTTCAAAGCTTCACGCCAAAGCCGTGGTGCCATTATACTCACTCTGCCTGTTTTACGTTTAATGTCCACTTGATGGCGCACTAGAGCAAATGACGCCCCGTGAAGCTTCGGCCCACGAGTGAATCAACTTGATGCAAAGCTTGTTTATGAATATAAAACAACTGATTATCCAAATACTTGCCGATTAATTTTATCTTCGTCAACTAATCAATTTCTCTCTCTTGCGTGCAGAGTTTTGTGTGCATGCCGTACTGCCGACAGCTGCCTGCACCTCGCGGGTCTATTTCAAGTAGCCGGCTGTTTAAAAACGATAAAATATTCTCTGTGTGGTTCATCAACGGTGATAAATTATCCGAACGTCCCGCGGGGTACGAACAACTCGGCACAACACCAGTGAAGCTGGAGCTCCGTCTCTTCAGCAAGTGTTCCTCTTCCGCCGCTGCACACATCCACGCTACGCCTACACGTGCGCACTGACGCCCCAGGGTTAGGGTTACAATTTAGGATTTATTTACGCACTTTAAAAACATTTATTGAAAGTTTTATTCTTTTCACATGTTTATTTACAGCATTAAACGTTGAAATGTTTATTGTAACAGGCTGTATATTAACTTATTGGGAGAAAACTGGTAGTTCTGTGTAAAATCAGCACCCCCATATCACCAAAATGGCGTGATCCTGTTTCGCTGCGAAGCTTCGACTGTGAGATTGACAGTTGAATCAGGCTCCGCCCATCGAAGCATCGAATCTTCGACCTTTCGGGGTCAGGCCTAATCTCTACGTGTCGGCATTGGCCTTAATATTTTGTTAAAGCTTTATAAAATAGAGAATTTGAGACATTGACATTGCCCTTTTGAAATAATGATCACTCATCACGGAAAACTATATATATATATATATATATATATATATATATATATATATATATATATATATATATATATATATATATATATATATATATAGATAGATATTTTAACATTAGATAAAAAGTTCAATTTTAGTCTAATAGTATACTGTTAATATGTTAAAAGTATAAAATTAATTCCAGTTGGAAAAACAGTTTCATGTTTTCAGTCATTAAATACTTGTGCAAGAAAAATGGTCTACTTAATTTGTTAATGCTACTATCTCAACAATAATCAGAATCATTCATGCAGGAGTTCAACATCTGAAAGTTTACTGTAGCAGGTCAAACTGTTTTTATGTCCCGCCCCCTCCAGTCTGTGATTGGTCAGTTTACGAAAAGGGAAATTAAATGCTCGTGCAGACTAGACGTCTTTCAGCGTCGGCCGATGGCCATGCCGTTCACACTACACAACTTGGCGTCTTGTTTAAGGGAATTCTTGAAGGAGTTCACACGTGACTGATCGGTGACAGGGGCGCGCACATTACACGACCTGACAGCGACTCTGTCACCTGACGCTGGTCTCCAAACCACGTTTGGTCAAGAAAACACGTGAAATGTGAAACGGGAAATGACGCAACACTACACACGAAACCGCTGCTGTTTATTATTATAAAGACAAAAAATGTACCCGCGATCAAAGCCCGACTGTCGTCAGTGTGAAGTCGGCTTAACGAGCACATCGATTTTATGAAAAGTTGAATATGTTTCAACAAAAGGCACCTGATGAGCTTACAGCCAGCTTACCAAACTCACAACCTCCTTATCTTCTCCGTGCTGACATTTTTGTAACCGAGCGCGATGTTTTGAATGATTAGCGGCACGGCGGGCAGGGTGGCGGGGGGATTATTGTAGGTTGTATAATTACGGTAGTTACTTGCACATTGTGCTCGTAAGTCGATTTTTAGGGGCATATGCATATGGGCAAAATGGTCGCACTATAGAGCCCTGTGCATGAAGCATTGCTGAAAAAAACTTTCTCGCGCTTTTATTTTGTAGGCACAATCACTTAAGAGGAAGTGATTATGTGAGTAACTGCTGTCATGACTGATCTGTTTCAGCACCAGACGCTATCAGTTTCCATCCATCGTCAACCGTTTATCCTGCGTACAGGTGGGGGGTTGGAGCCAATCCCAGCTTACATTGGGCGAAAGGCGGGGTACAACCTGGACAGGTCGCCAGTCCATCGCAGGACGCTATCAATTTATTTATTTTATGAGATTATTTTTATTTATATTTTTCTGCAATTGCGCCGCCTGTTCCCGACCGCTGCCTTAGATATTACACTGGGGTTATCTCTTGATAGATAAGACTAGTTTTCCTCCTACAGCAGCCTCTTCTGTGTGTTCCGGGATCAAAGATCATGTTTACTGTGTGGATGTTAATCATCCACAAGAGAAAGTTGAAGACTTGTGAATAATTTACAGGTTTTCTTTCAGTTTTTGCGTCGGTGATTATTCTACCGAAGCTGAAGCACCGATGTAGTTCCCCGGTTAATCTGGTCTGAAGGTATGTAATGTTTCCACAATACCTCTTGCTTAAAGAAAAACATTGCACTGTTTGCATATTTTAAGCTGTAAGCTGATTTTATTTGGAGGCAGGAGGTAAAACTATAATAAGGAAGTGACCTGTATCCCTTTACCACAGACACAAAACTGCGGATGATCGTTAGTGCTCAAATAGTGTTGCTCTGCTTTCTCCGCTGCATTGTTCATTACCTAACAACACGTCCTCATACCTAAACAACAAAATAAGTCAATTGTCCAGTGCCCCAAACATTGAAAAACACAACCACATATATGAACGTTTCCGAAAACGACATATACGAGCGTTGGCAAGTACAAGTCCGGCAAATGGCTTACTGGACCTTCAGTGACCTAAGTCACCTGATGTTTGTCATGTAGTAAACGGCCGTAGTTTGTTTAGGTTAAGGCAACAAGACTACTTGGTCAGGGTTTGAAAAGGATCGTGGTTTCAACATGTGAAGAGTAAGCATGTCCAAAACATGGAGACCTCCTCAGTATATCTTTGTTTTTTAGTTTATCGTCATCACATTTACAGTCACAGGTGTAGTGAAGGTGTCGGGACGACATTCAGTTGCATTATTATCTGCAAGGTCTTGTTTGTAATGCTGATATTGCCTTTGAAATTTAGATTTTCTTCTGGAATGGTAAGATAAATGGATTTACTTACAATAAATTCATATGGTTTAGCTTCTTGCCTATCAAAGGAGACCAGAAATATGCCTACAGGCCTAATGGTTGAGTTATACCCAATTCATTTTGGGTATGTTACTTTAGTTTTGTTTTTCCTGGTGAAAGGGCAACGGTTAAAGAAGTTTTTAATGAGCAGCAATGCATGCACACCACTGCAAGTCTTTTGAATTGGCTCACGTCGTCCCTTCAGCCTCTGTCTCATGCTCCTTTTCTGTTTGTTTGCTGCATTTCAGTTAATAAAACATGAGCCAGTCACCGGCTGAGCCTCGACCAAAGATTGAAACATGGACCAAAGAAGACGTCCACCAGTGGCTGATGGCCGAGGTCAAAGTTAATCGGAGTTGTGCAGACTTATTTGTTGAAGAGGACGTGTCAGGAGAAGTTCTATTTGCTCACCAAAAGAAAGATATTTTAGATTTAGGAGTAAAACATGGTCCTGCTGTCAAAATCACATCTTATCTAGAAAAAATGAAGACAGGATCACAACATGAGTCAGAGTTCCCAGCTGGTGTGAAAAACTGGACAAAGGAGCAAGTGGCCGAGTGGTTACTGCAGCACGGGAAGGTCGATGGCAGGAAGGCAGAACGATTCAAAGAGGAAGACGTGTCTGGAGATTGCCTCGTTTGCTTCGGGAAGCAGGATTTCCTGGATCTGGAGCTGAAAAAGGGTCCTGCTGTAAAGATTCTGAAAGAGCTGGATCAACTGAAAAATAAACCAGAGCCGACACCGTGTCGCGTCCTTCCTATCAGCACAGCGCAAAATGAATCTCTGCAGAAAAATCTGCCTCCGGAGAAACCTCCAAAACAGAAGAAAACTCCTAAAGAGGTGGAGGCACTAACGCCACAAGGGAAGACAAAAGAAACAGCTGAGGTAAAATTCAACGTTGTATATCATTTACAAACAACATAATACTGCCAGCTACTTAAAAAAGAAGTCATAAAACACTTAGTATTGCTGCCACTGTATTTGTTGTGCATTTAAAGTCAAATTAAAAGCATGTACATTAAGTCTTTTACAGAAACATCTGCCAAACAGTAGAGATTAAATAATAAAGAATAAAGAGATAAACATAAAGGGAGAAAAGGCCGGCTTGGGGTATGTTATGTAGGTCACGTATAGACTGGCTTCTTTTATACACACACTCCTGGATGTGCAGCCCGGGGGCAAAAGCTCTTCGGTAGCCGCTCATAAGACCGTAGTCAACGTAGGTTGCGCATTGTTTGTCAATTCTTGTTGACTTAATAATCAACTGCCATTTCAGAGTTGGATCTGTTTGTTTGTGTTTCATTTTGCATATTAATATAACAGCACGACCGCGCTGCAGGTCACCCAACACCATGGGGACCCGAGTTAGACTTAAGTCGCACACACAGTGACTTCAGGCTCGACTTGAGACTCGTCCTCAAAAGACTTCAGACTCGACTCGGACTCGAGGTGCGGGACTCGTGAACAATGTTTATTAAACGTCTGATGAGCGTTCCGTTATTCCCTCCCTGCGTTATCTATAACCTGCCTACGTAACACGTAGAATCAGCTGCGCGTATTAAAGCTTTGGCTTTAAAACTTCATACAACAAGACCCAAACACAAAGAAACGCTGAACGCAACATTTAGGTTAGTAACCTGAGGTTAGTGAACATGTTTAGCTCAGCATTGACCATCTGACGTTAGCTTGCTTCTTGCTTCAGCTACGACCTACGGGAGGTTTAAGATGAATGAGCGTTTGTTTACTTGCCAAACTTCATTTACGTCCCGCTGGCTGCCATCACGTTAATTATTACCGTCGGCTGCAAACCGGTTACAGGTTTATTGTTGATCATGTAACGTCACAGTTTTATTTAGTTATAACGTTGCACTGGGTTTGACAGTCTGCAGGGTGTGTTGACTTACAGTAGTTAATAAGCCATTAATAATAAGTCATTAATTGCATTGCACATCACATGGTTGTGCTCTGTAAGTTAAAAACAGGTTACAGTTACAGAATCCCTTTATAGCTCTGCAGTTTTATAAGCAGCCTGGATTGAACGCAGCAGCTGATACAACATTCATTATAACCACCAGAGACTTGACTTGGACTCTAGCTCAGAGACTTCAGAGCATCTCTGAGCGACACCGGACGTAATGTTGTTCAAGTCAGCTGCTCACAGCTAACGTGGGGGGTGGTGATGGAGCAGTGGATAAGACACATGCTTTTGGTGTGAGAGACCCGGGTTCAACTCCACATGGTACCGATCCACCACTGTGTCCCTGAGAAAGACGCTTAACCCCTAGTTGCTCCAGAGGCGTGCGACCTCTGACATGTATAGCAGCTGTCGCTTTGGATAAAAACGTTAGCTTAATGAATAAATGTAATGTTACTGCCTGTGAGGCGCCCACTTGGCAGGACAGAGTGGCGTTGAGCGACGTTTTGTAAAAGCACTGAATACTTCTCTCATAAACGCATGTGCAAAACAGTAACGTCGAGAAAAGTCGAGACTCTTGCTTAATTTTTTTGCTGTCAATCTCACTGTCGAAGCTTCGCAGTGAAACGAGGATCACGCCATTTTGGTGACATGGGGGTGCTCAACGTCTGATTTTACACAGGACTACCAGTTTTCTCCCAATAAGTTAATATACAGCCTGTTACAATAAACATTTCAATGTTTAATGCTGTAACTAAATATGTAAAAAGAAAAAAACTTTCAATAAATGTTTTTAAAGTGCGTGAATAAATCCTAAATTGTAACCCTAACCATGAGGCGTCAGTGTGCACGTGTAGGCGTGTGTGCAGCGGCGGAAGAGGAACACTTGCTGAAGAGACGAGCTCCAGATTCACTGGTGTTGTGCCGAGTTGTTCGCACCTCGCAGGACGTTCGGATAATTTATTACCGTTGATGAACCACACAGAGAATATTTTATCGTTTTTCAACAGCCGGCTACTTGAAATAGACCCACGAGGAACCGCGACGTGCAGGCAGCTGTCGGCAGCACGGCAAAAACTCTGCACAAGACCGGTGAATGACTGGCACGCGCGAGAGAGAGAAAATTAACAACAACAAGCGTCAGTTTAGCTTCGGCTCGCAATCGCAGCGCACAAAAACACACAATGCGACCATCAGGCGACTACAGGCAGGACTTGACGATTCTGATTGGACTATGTAAATCCTTAGTCGGGGACAGATCTACTTGATGTATTATTCACTAATTGCTCCTTATGTGTTTTCTGCAGAACCCGTCTGTGGTAATTAAAACCACCCTGGATAAACTGGGAAGAAATAAACTAAAATCTTTTAAATTCCACCTCAGAAATTACAACAAGGAAGGCTATAACTCTGTTCCTCAGAGCAAACTGGAGGATAAAGACACGGTGGACATCGCTACCTTACTGACCGCTCACTATGGCTGCGAGGACGCTTTACAGGTCACACGAGACATTCTAAAGAAAATAAATCAGCGTGATCTTGGTTCGCAGCTTGAGAGCACGATTGGTGAGTAAACTAGTAAAGTTTTTTAAATCATTGCAATATCAAAGCTTTTCTTTCTTTTTTAAGCATCTCATAATCTAATATTCCCAGATTGTTATTATATCTTCCAGTTTCTACACACACATATTGATTTTCAGGAAAAAAACTTTTCCCAGGTATAACTAGATGTTTGTTTTCTGATCACTGCAGAAATCTATTAATTATTTATTAATTCACTCATTTGTTTACACAGGAGTGAAGGAGATTCGCGCAAGTTCTACTGAAAGTGAGGAGGAAACGGACGAGTCAGAGACGCCTCCAAGAACAAATCGTAAAAAACGGAAGAAAAAGAAAAAAAAGATCTTGTCTTTGTTTCATAAATGTCAAAGTACATTTACCGTCCTGCTTTGACCAATCATCCTTACACTGTGGTGGCAGCCAAACGTTAGAAGGAGAGGAGCTTGATTTGAACTCTCACAGCCCAAAATTGTTCAATAATAAATAAGTAAATAAGCTAATAAAGTCATAGAACAGTAATTAATGCTAGAATATTTTATATTTTGAAACCTGCATCATTTATGTTTGCAAGCTAGAAGTCTTAGTTTGCAGACCCCAGGAAGGATAGCTGTTGCTTCGGCTACAGGGATCTAATAAATGAAATCGGACCCTCGAGGGGCATATGCCCCCTTTTGTAGATTTTATAGTTAAATGCATTAATCTGGGGCCGTATTACAGGAAGTCTTAAGTAAAGACAGGAAGAGTCTAAGATAGGATTTTTCTCTAACTTTTTATTTTTTTATTTTTAACTAACTTTAGGAATCCTGTCTTAGAGGTGTTTGTAACCTGCGTCGAGAAATCCAAATAACGCTTAACTCTGGAGATTAAAGAGAGAGAGTGGGCTAAAATAGCAGACGCACTCTCCGCCGCATATCTGGCGTCCAGCGGAGCGTTGATGCTGCCAAACACAAGTAGAAGAAGAAGAAGTCCATTGACAGTGATATGAAGACACGGGCCACTGTAGTGTCCACAGAGCAGATGAAACCGCTGGTGCTCATCAGTGACCCCGGCAGAAGACTACTTTTCTCGGGAAAGTTAATAATGACAGTAAAAAAAAAAAAAGGCTAATAATAATAAAGGCTGCTGCTAACGTCATCGTGTTTTTCATGTATTTCTTGAATTTAACGATCTCCTCATATCAAAGCCTTGCATTAGGATCCTTTTGTTACATCTTTACATTATGTTTTATAATGAGACATTATCCAGCGTCACATCGCCTGCACATGTGTAGAATCAATTAAGTTCCAGCTGTTGACATTTTTGATTTTGTAAAAAATAAAAGAGCAGCCGTGTGGATTAAACGAGTTATTAAACTCTACCTGGTGGAAAAGTAAAGTTAGGACAGCTCAACAGTTCTCCTGAAGTTAGGAGAGTTTATTTAAGAAGTTAGGATGCTTCTGTAAAACACTTTTCTTATCTAGAGTTAGGAGAGGAACACTGACTAGGGAACTGTTAACCTTTTTCCTAAATCAGTTCCTAACCCCTATTACCACGGTTACCAAGCAGTAGGGCTGGACGATACGGCCAAAAGGTTTCATATCTTTCGATGTCGATAATTATCACGATAAGTATCAAATCGTTCTTTCTTTCGAGTTTAAAGGCTGATTTTTGCTCCTGAGTTAAAGTTGAAGAAACCCGATGGTTAACTGTCGTTTAAACTCTTCATTATATTCAACACTTGAAGCCAAACAGAGGATCACTTCAAAAATCTGAGGTAGAACATACAAAACATTTATGATAAAATCTTAAATATGCACGAGTAAAATTAAGTAAAAGCTTTTTTCAGTCATTTTTCCTCAACAAAATAAACATCTTATTAAAAATTAAGTCCTAATTCGTGTATTATTCAAGTGAATAAAATCAAACATTTATTGAATATTTATTGAACATTTATTATATTGTTATTGAAAAAAATGTTATTGTTTTATTGTTCAGGCCTACCAAGCAGTTAGGATAGGATCTGCCGTTAGGAAGTTTCTGTAATACGGCCCAATAAATAGGCTAGACCTTTGAAGAACTTTGCACTCTTGGTAACAATTTTGTGCTCTAGTAAATAATCTGATCATAAACACATTGTACAGATATAAATGGTGATGACACAGAAAAAAAGTCATTTATTTAATGTTTTTACAACAACCCTACATTTCCTAACATTTTATTGCCTTTATACTGAACACATGTAACAATGTTTTATTACTTCCTGTTAACATAATCCAATTCATCTTATTTCCATACTGTATATACATTGTGTAAACACCTTATTTTTAAAACCGGATTCAGTTCATTTTGAACAAACTGGATGTTTTCAGGCCGCCATAGTCTTGTTAGGCTAATTAATGTGAAACACTGAAGCAGTTTTATAAATAATAAGCCAAATTTGACTATGCATAATTAACATTACAGGACGATACTGACTACCAGCTATATATAGCGTGCTAACCCAGCGTTGTGTCGGACAGATTTGTGCAGCGGTGTTCGTGAGGGAGAGCAAGAGAGAGAGAGGGACGCGAGAGGATGTGCAGCACGAACACGCGCTGCCTGAAGCTCTGCAATCAAATTCAATTTTAAATAGGCCTAGTAAAAAAAACGAAAATCAATCTGTGGCGGTCAGCGCTGATACTGTGGCGGGTCGCCACAAATAAATCGTATGTGAAACACAGCAGGTACTTTTTAAGATATCGTATTGTCTGTACAGTCAATATATCATGTCTTAAGATGTCTTATTGATTTTATTTAGATTTTTTGGTACATGTTTGTCATGAAGCAACAGATTGTAGCACTGTGCCCAAGACAAATTCCCCCTCAGGGACAATAAAGTGTATTCTATTCTGTTCTATTCTTGTCAGAAACTGTATTTAAAATATCTTTAACACAATTTCTACTGTCATATTAACAGAGATACAAGGTAGTTTATATTTCATTATACAACACAAGGCTGTTTAACGAAAAGAAAGTTTGTGGTCCATTCATTCTACACACACAAAACTTATCAGGTAATTAAATGTGATATCTGTAATTCAGTTTTGACTGGGCGGTCCCAAACTCTTATTTGTGCTCCAAGGAGTGAGGAGGGATCTCTGAGGGGCCATGAGAGAGAGCAGCCTTCACAGAGGTCTTTTACTGGACCCCTTATTGGATATCAGTTATTGATTGGACGCTGGAGTGAAGACCAGAGTAAAGGGCCTGAATCCCAAATTCAACCCTCCTTCTAGGGATAGTCTGTCCAATGACTTGATATCAGCCCGGTACAACATAGAAAAAGGATAGTAAAGAATTCATAAAACCTTCCTGTCACACAAAATTGAAATCGATAAAAAGAAACCCAAGCCTACTTTTGGTGGCTCTAAATGAAAAGTCAGTACGCACCCTCTGGTGTGTTTGACAGACTGACACTGTTACCCATAGAGACCTGCTGCAGCATACCTCATAAAGAAAGCAATGTTCACCAAACATAGCTCCATAGTGCAACTAGTGGTCGAAACTTCCCAGGGTGCCTGAAAAGATAATGTTGGTATTGGCTTGACTAGTCGGTACCTGGTCAGAACGAGAAGTTTTG